GCTGGAGGACAAAGCTCTCTTCTACTCGCGGACAATATGGTTTGTGTGGTGAGAGTCTGTTTTAAACTACAATCTCTCCAGATACAGTCTGGAGTACTCCAAGATTTATTTCACATGTTTCATTTTTAAATACATACAGAAAAAAAAGGAAATACAAGTATAAGTGAGGTGTTATTACTAACAACAAAAAGTTTACAGAAGTCTACTGAATATATTTCAAATAGAGACCATAAAAATATCGCAATTACAAGGTCACCTAAGTTGTTGGTTACACCTTACAGCTCAGTAAACTTCACTCCAAACTACACAACTCCTCCCTAAATATCATAGTAGTCACGCTTAGTTAAGAAACGACAAAGAGATAGATAGGTACAGCAAAACAAAAAAAAAAAAAGTGAATCCGACTGAGTTACATTCTCAAACATGTTTTGGAATAAGTCTCCTCTATTGTATCTCATGCTCTCACAAATTATCCTTCTGACTCATAAAAACAGGCTGTTCGCCAAGTACACTGCTCACATTGTCTGAATTAGGAAAGAATTTCTGTGAATAATAGCGACATTTTGCCGATATAAAACACTAATTTGCTCTGTTTTTAACATCGCCTAATCTTTTTCGGCTATCTTCAAAACAGTTTAACATTCCTCTTGTTTAAAAACTCCACTGACAGTGATCAGATAGTCCTTTGTGGATGATTAATCCTGGGTTACACAATCAAATGTGTAACTCCCACCCTTGTGGCTCTTCTGCAAATAATGGGCAGAGCTCAGCAGTTGCTTAAGGAAATCTTGCAGAATTTGAATAATCATGTCTAAGTGTTAGTGTGGCACTTTTTTTTCTTTGATCAGATCACATGTAACAGTTTTGTTTAGAACACTGCCATGTGACTTCCCTCATCCTGTGGTGTACATTAATCATACCCACACGTTTGAGCAAACACACGCACGCGCGCACACACACACATACACACACACACACACACACACACACACACACACACACACACACACAATCAAGCGTCCATCCCCATCTAATCCTCTGATTTTCCTCTGCTTTACAGTCTGAGCTGCCTTGTTTTCATTGTAGTCATGGGCTGTGAGTCATCGCTGCTCTGAGCCAAGCTATTTGCGCTGGTTCACACTGGCTGACACACCTAGGACCAGGAAACACACCCATTCCCACATATCCTTGTATTCAAGTAGAGTGACCTGCCACAAACCATGACAGTCAGAGGGGATTTGGTGTTTAAAAAATAAAAAAAAGAACATGCACTGAATGTGCAGCTCATTCTGGACATCTTGTTGAGGTTGAGTTAAATTTGAGTCAAACAATCCAACGTTTTTTTTGTCTGAAACCTCTCCTCTAACCTCATTTTCTTAACCTTCAATCTCCTGCAGCAGACTGACTGGGATTCACAACAGATATTTGAATAAAAAAGTACTACGCACTTTAACCTCGATTCACCTCTTCAGCGTAGGAAAGAGCTTTTGAGTAAAAGTGCGCAAACAAGGTCACTCTCAGTAGTAAAAGACACTGTAGGAGTGGGAGTGTTTACTGTGGGTTGTTATGTGACCATAAACATTCAAAACCTGCATACGAGTTGTTGAACAGCACACAGCTGGACAGGCATCCTGCCGTTTACGTGCGCACACATCATAGGAGTCGTCTGTCTGGAAGCGGCAATTGCTCTGAGCTGAAACTGTTCTTCAAAGGCAATAACAGCCACACCTTAGTGGCAAAAAGTCAAACCTGCATGGAGCTGAGCAAACAGGTGCAGGAGCAGGGGACGAGAAGAAGATCATCCTCTTTTACAATTATTATCTTATTCCAGAAAAATATGTGGACAAAACAGTCTCTGCAGGGAGTAAAACAATGTAGTAAATGTTGTCAACCTACGCTCTCGTAAAAACCGCCCAAGCCCTAAAGTTGTGTTTCTTGTTGGGGTCATTTTTCTGTCATGTAGAGCTGTAGGGCTCTGTATTCAAAACTCTGTTGTCATGCTGAGAATCAACAATTCCACACTTCATGTAGAGTTCTTTAGGGTTTCTGCTAATCTTACACATGGTTGGTGTTACTCCTCCACTTTCATCTCAGCATGCAGACAACTACAAACTAATACACACATATATACACACGAACAATGAGCCGTCTTTTGGTGGGAGAGCTGCACCCTGTTTTTGAGAGAGTACTAAATCAGAGCTCTCTTGACTCACTCGGCGGTGTAATGTGGTGCATTTAAGTATGTGTCTGCGCATGTCCCACTGTGTGCACCACTCCCTGTTCGATCCCCTCAAAGCCACGCTGTAACTTCCTCTGTGTTTGCTTAAATGCTTACATGTTTGCAATTTCACCTCACTGAGCAGGGGCATGACACATTCACAAAAATATAAGGGTGTTTCAAGGACGCTGAACGTCCCCATGAGAGCGGAAGAGGCATACACGTGCATTGCGACACACACACACGGGCATACATATACGTAGGCGACACCCACATCCCTTACAGCATCTCATTTGCAAAACCTGTGCTACCCCACATAGTGCCAGTAAAGATCATTGAGTCAACTAATCATAACAAAAAGAAAAAAAAAACTGATTAAAAAATATATTATTACAAAGAGAATAAGAGACACACAAGTGTCCTCCTTCCAGTGCAGAAAAAGGTAGCCGACAGCAAAGTGTAACTCTCCCACTGATAAATCAAGCCGGCTACAAAACTGAACCCATCCCCTTGGGGCCTATACTGAAATGCATAAGTTAACACTGACACTGCTATATTCATGTCACTATTTTGTCTTTATAGCTTATTTTGCCCTTGATAACTGCAGTGGGATTAAACTCTTGAATAAGGTAATCCATTTAAATCACATGAAGGCCTCAAATTGCACATCATTGATAGCATGGTGGCTTTGACAGGTGGGTGCCTTAAGCTGTCTGCTAGTTGTCACTTAAACAGCTGAACTTCCTAGCCGAGTTGGTGCCTAAGGTTAACTTTTTTTTTAAAGCTGAGCTATTTATTGCACCAATAGACGGCCGGGGGGAGTTTAAGCTAAAGCTTTTTCAGCAAGAATAACTCTACTGTTTTATAAATTAGCCTTACTTTGCAGCAATCTGTGTCCACGCAACCGAGCTTGTTAGCTTGATTGTTCTTTTTTTTTTTTTATTTGCACTGTCTTCCTAGAGGAGTTCAGCCTGTTGTTGGCATTTTCCCCAGGAGAAGACAAGTGACCAAACTGAAGACCAGTTTTTCTGAGAAATCTGGTTTGTTGTGGTCACCTTCCCGTTGCTTGTGGCAAAAGCTGTGCAAGTCTGTTTAAGTCAAACAAATACCTCGGGTCACTTAACATGAGGTAATTAGCAAAGGAAGTAGCCCACTAACAGTAGATTAACCTGAAATACACAGCTAAAGGCATGGCTACAAAGGTACTCTAAGTTAGCTAAACTTAGTAACAAGTAACAGGTAAATAAAATGGATAGTGTTGCATATGGATAAAATCAATGGACTTGGTGTTGAAAGGAATAGCATGAGTATGAAGACATAGCTAATGACAATGGATTAATAGTAAACCAGAATAAATGGTCATCGAACCAAGAGAGCTAGTTTACAGTAGCAAACAAATGGTTACAATACTCTGCGAGAAGTTCTGCATAAATGGTTAAAAAAAGTTGGCTAATTAGTGAATGACTACCTGCAACTACTAAAGTGATAAATGAATGTTTGAAAACATCTCTAATAATTCTTGGTATATGGCTAAATGGCTAAATCTTGATTCAGTTGAATGAATGTCATACATGAAGGTGGTCAGTCTGACAGAGTAAACGGAGAATAAAACCTTAATAATGTTAATAATAATAATGTTTTTATATTTACAGAACGTATGTCTCATCAAAACCTTCTTTTTTTTCACCTGCAGCAGCTCTTATTTGCTGAGCCATTATTATCCTTTAGTCTTAGGCTGGATTTATCCCAGGCAACGCCCAAAATGTCTTTATCACAACAGCTCCTATTCCTTCATCTTTATCTATGAAATACATAGAAAACGGATGCACAGCGTTAACTCAGGTGAGTTTTTGTGTCTGATTCTTTGATATTTTTTTAAAAAAGCATTTAAGGAAACCATCATGTGTTCATTCAATACACAACAGAGTAATGTGACACAAAAGAACACTGAAGGTAAGTTAGGCAGAGCCTTGTTTACTTTGGCTGGCCTGCTTCAGAGCTTGTCGAAACAAAGCCTGTGTCTCTCTGCCAACGGAAATGTGCAGAGCAGGAGGAAAACTGGAACATCATTCAGTACATCATGGCTCTCTGATGTATTCCTAAAATTCATATTATAACTTCAGGCCAGAGGAGGAACAGTAGTTTCTTCTAGGAAAAAAAAAATACTCAGGGAGGAAGAGTGGACTGACAAATGCTGCCATCTGCAACAGCTTTGTTCTATCTATGACGCAGAGAAAATAATATGCAGAAAATTAAGAAAAATAATAGAAAAAATGTAAACTCTGTGAGGCATACTTTGGCAAATAAAATACTGTTTAAAATGCAACATTGAATATCTAACAAAACAAGTAGCAATACCAGTGCAGACTTCACGGCGGCCCTTGTAGAAACAGTGAAAAACTTGAGTGATTCTAGCCTCTTGTAAATATACACTTTGGGTTTAGTGAGTAAGTAGAGGCCTTACTCCTAAGTCATTTAGTTAATGATGACTTTGCATAACTTTGTGTACAGTGCTGTAATAGCATGTTTATGTCATTGTGTGTCATGTGATAGTCATTTTGTGGTGTGTTTAATGTCTGTGCTTCATTTTAATGTATTGGAGAGGATTGAAAACTGCAAACTCATCATATCCCTGTGACTGCTAGATGCTCACTTTGAGAAGACAACACCCTTACTGCTGGTAACACTTCTCTGACACAGGAAGTCTCATCTGGGCATTTATTTTAGTTATTTTGCTCTGAATAAATATTTCATAACCTTTCTTTGCTACATTTCTTGCTGCGATGCATCGGGAGGCTCTTTGAGAGGCAGTGGGTGGTCCCATGGTTGCAGAGAACCACTCCCTCACACCGGTCCCCTCCCCACCATTCCCCTCCCTCTGCAAACCAGGAGCCCTACCCAGCTCCCTGTTCAAGCACTCTGCTCAGCCCAGAAGAGCAGCCACACAGAAAAAAAAGTTAAAATCAACTCAGAGGAGAGGAGGGAGGGAGGGAGAGAGAGAGAGAGAGAGAGAGAGAGAGAGAGGGCAGAAAACGCCCTGGAAACTTTGTTGACCAAGATATAGGAAAAGAGTGACAGAATCCTCACAGACAGCTAAGTTGTGACTGGAAGAAGTGCTCTTACTTGGGCTGGGTAGAAGGGGAGAGGACACGTTTTCAAGGATGCTCAAGCTGGTATAAGGCTTCTAGGGCGCACAGACTGCGCACAGGTAAATATGCACTTTTTTCCTTTCTGTGAATGAGATAAATGATTTTTTGTGAATTTTGCTGGCTTCAAACTTGATTATTAAGAAATGAAGATAAAGAGTTGCAATCATTTTGCCAAAGCTTGAACACCCTCCTGGCAAAAGTGTCAAAGTTATCCATGTGACATTTCTGTTTATATTCCAATGAGCTTTTATGGTCAGCGCTATCGGCGGGAAGTTAAAAGTGACTTTGTACTGCTTTATTGCCTGTGTTTATCACATGGAACATCCTAAAACTTTCCCAGAGGAAACTTTTGACGCAGCCAACTTTTTCATAAAAACAAAACATGTATCAATATTTACATGCGTTCATGTAGAGGTGTAAAGTGGCTGGGATTTTGTGTGAATACTTTTCTATACTATAAATACTGATTTAAAATAGCTTAGGATGTGAGAGGTGGGTGTGTTCTCATAGTCGCCACATGAATGCAGAGGAGTTGACTGGAGTTGCGCACTTCACTTTTCCTCTACGGGCACTCAAAGTTTTTATCCACAGTCAGTCTGAGTGCTAGTAGGAAGAGATTTCTTCATATGATTTTCATAACTAACAAGTAGCACACACTGGAACTCTCTTTGTGCAGTGATTGGACTGTTTTGCAACATGGATGTCCTTTGCACACATAATCTCTAGTCTTTAGGGTGGAGGATTTTTCTAAGCACTGACGTATCCTCCACTCTCTTGGTGAGAAAAGAAAGCAGTGGAGATTTAAAAGAGTCACGTTGTTTATGTTGAGAATGCCATTTAGAAGTTTCTCTTTTCTGTCTAACACCTTTATCTGAGGCTGGGCTTTTAAAAAGTAAAGGTAACAACTTCCCCATGAGAGTTCGCAGCAGCTTGCTTGGGTGTGGATTCTTCTCTTTCACCTCCCTCCACCCCCTCCTTTTTTTTCTCCCTCCCTTCTTGCTTTGCTGTCTCCTCACAGAGGCACACCCTTCACAGCCAAAAAAGAAAAAGAAAAGAGACGTACACGCTGCAGACTGTCGTCGCGTTAAGTCATTAAACACATAGAAAGGAATTTCTTTCAATGACAAGGGGGTCCAGAGGTATTAAAGAAAAAGTTATCAGAACTTTTTCTCGATCTGTTTACTATTTTTAAGTGACACTCATAATCATGAGACACATGAGGCAATGGAAATCCTTGCTTTTGGCTGTGCATTTTTCCTGTTGAGGAATGCGGTGAACTTTTCTGAAGGTTTTTGATATGATATGAGTGAGTTTTCCGGCCAGAGTGACACTAGTTAAAAATGAAAACTATCGCTTCAGCTTGTGGCATGTTTGCTTGTCCTAAATTCCCAAATTCTTTGGCAGAGATAGATCTCTCTCTTTCCTTTACCTTGGGTCTCTTAACCTGGGCTGAAGGCCAGAGTGTGCAGGGGAGGTAAGAGGGAGGGGGGTCATAGGAGGGAGGAAGACAGGGAAAGAAAGTCAGGGAGTGAGTAAGTAAAGGGGGATGGGCGGGGCGGGGGCGAGGAGGGGAGTAATGGAATGTAGTGGTTTGGAAAGACAAGCTAATTGAAACCAGGTTTGGGGCTTAGATGGGGGAGCTTAGACTTCGCACATTTGGAGAAAGAGAGAAACCCATTTGATTTGCTTACAAAGCTGATCTATTTGTCTGCATAACATTTCAAGCTTAAACTGAATCTTTCCAGGTGTGATCCAGATCAACACCTTACATACAGACCTGTCTGTCTGTATTTTATATTTGATCAAGACGGGAGAAATGCTGTGGAAAATGCCGATGAGACATAATCCTTTGTTGAGTCATATTTCGAGTTTGTCATCGCTTGTCCTCAGCAGCTCCCTCCTGCCACACCCAAAAATCATTTCAGCAGAGTGTCACACTTTTTCGCTTCCTGAACTCAGCCATTTTATACATGTCGCACTACTCCACGTGTGTCAAATAACCCACAGCTGTAAAAATTTTTCAAATTCTTCTTGTCAAGTTGATGTGTTGTGCCAAATGGTGACACAAAGCTCAAAGTTGTTTGTGGTGGTTGGCATGTAAGCTATTTCATGTTTAGCATTCTTAGTGTTTGAAATATCTGTATTTTGCCACGCGTGTAGGCAAAGGTATAAACCCATTCAAATGTCATAAAAATTGTTCGAATAAGGTTGCCGCTGCATTAGAATGGAAAATTAAAATGATGTGAGATAACCAGGGGCTCTTCAAGGAGAAGAGACTGAGGTTAAATTGCGAAATAAACACATTAATTTCCATACTTTTTGCAAACAGGCAAAATAAATAAATAAATATATCATTATTATTTTTTAAACAGCCGCGTGTTTTTGTGTTTCTGAGTTAACCGAGTCCTGATGACGACTGCCCATTTTCACAATGATTTTGATTTTTTCATTTATGTATTGCATAATAAATTTGGATCACAATTTAGGGCACCAAAATCTATCTACTAGTTACATAGTAGTTTCTGATTGCCTGTAGCTAAAATGTTTGTCAGTCAATATGTCCTCATTTTTGCCAGGGGCGGATTCTGTTTGCCTAAATTCCTGCACAGAGGGCTACATTATGCTGTAACATTAAGCTCTGAAGAACTCCTGGTATTCTCAAAACCACACTGTACACTTTTGAAGGGGCTCCATTGATCAAATCTTGCTCAGTCATGACAGCAGACGTTGGCTGAGTACAAGCTGTCACTCGTGCTAATTTTACTCCACATGCCACCAATGTGACATAGAGCGCATTTTCTTTGTAGCCTAAAGAAAAGGACGTGGCTTTTGGCTATTTAGAGTCTTAGCGTGATAGTGTCAAGATATTTATCTTAGCAGCCTGTCACTGCCACCATATATTCTCACTCAGTTGAATGGCAGCACAGACGAGAAAAGTGGTGTTGCTCTGCCGTGCCACTGTGAAACGGAAAGAAACTGGTCTCTAGCTCACTTCCTCTGTCGTTTCCTCATGGGTTTGTTGAGTGGGTGGCTGGAAGGAGGGACAGAGGCAAAAAATAGGGAGGTGGATGTGGTGTGTGAGTTAAAAAGAGAATTTGAGTGCAATCAGACTGTAGCTTATCTATTTTTACGCTTGCCATTTCAATTGAGTCATTTGGGTCCTCTGTCAACATGAAATTCTTACCTAGAGAAGAGTAAATAAACAATAGCCCATATTAAGACAAACACCACAGAGAGGGAAGTTTAGTGCTCTTCCAGCTGCCATCAAACATCTAACTGTGGAATGTGATTTTAGAAACTCTTTCTGAGCGCTCCACCCAGCAGCCACTCCCTTCTCATCCATCCATCCAGTGCTGCTTTGGAATGTTTCAGCATGTCCTCGGTGTGCACTGGGAAGTACCTATCATCAGCATTACTCGCCTTGTTGTCAAGAAATAGTGATTTAAGAATTATGATAATACAGTCATCACAAGTGCACATAATACTGCTCCAAGTCACACCCATACACACGCATGCAATCTAGACTTGTTTATGCAGCTTTCAGTCTGGTGGGACTATTGCAAGCATGGAAATTAGAGGGGTGTGAATCAGTTTTTCAGATAAGCCAATAACTTTCACCATTAGTCTGCCAAACATCTGTTATTCCAAAGCTGAGAAAAAAAAAAAAAACTTACAAAATGGTTGCTGCACAAAGCAGTCTACCTGCCCCCTACTTACTGTCTGACCCACACCCTTGCAGAAATGCAGAATGTTGCCCCATGCTGGACTGACATGAAGTATCTGTTACAAAACTGCTTGGAATGAGGCCACCGAAATGTCAGGGCAGCAAGGGCTTGGAATGTAAATTTGGAAATACATTTAGCTTTGTTTAGATATTCTTTATCAGGCATAACACACACTTAATAATGACACTAAAAAGGTGACATTCTTTTATGCTTGTTAATTCTGCAGGGGTGTAAATGCTTAGAGTAAATACATAACACTATGCTTGTGATTCAAGGTAATGCAGAGATTCATCTGTCAGAGCCGCCATTGAACTCTCCTCCTCACCTCTGTCCCCCTATGCCATGGATTGACATGCACATGTTCTTATTCCAATAGGACTTTTGCACAACTTCAACGAAAACAGACTGAGTGAACAGACAAACTGCTTGGCAGTTAGGTGGCGCAGCCTGTAAAACTTTGACATAGAAGTTTGTCGTTCACTAGTGACATCTATGTAAACTTGCCCCTCCCTTACCTCTTTCTGAGTTGTAACTAGTTATGCCAGTTTTACATTTGCATTCTTAATAAGCTATTCTGCATCTCTTCACCCTTTTTTATACTCCATCAATTGCTCAATGTTCTTGGCTATGAAACTGCCTGTAGGCGCCATCCCATGATCACTTCTCATCTAGAACTTCAGCGACAGACAAAATGTTTTGTTTCCTTTTTTTGCAAGAGTTATGTTTGTTTTCTTTTGTATCTTCCCATATGACAGTGTCTTAGTTAAGTTTATGACACAGCTTCAGAAGATATGAAAAATTCTTTTTAAATCTCAGCACATATGGAACAAATTAAAGAAACCTCAAGAGAGGAAATTCAAAGGGAGATACTCCCTTCTCTGATGCATCTCACTGTTCCAGAGAACAATGAGTAATGATAGGAGCTGTGAGTTATCTTGTACCTAAAGCCTTTGACAGCTTAAAACTGTTCTTTACTTTCCTCGTGTGAACATGAAGCTTATTTACGATGTTAATAAAGTCATAGTTCAGTTTTCTTTCAGAGAAAGCCCTGGTCTTGTTTGTGATCTTGTACAGAGTTTTCCCAAATGTTTCCATTTTGTGCAAAACTCGTGCCAAAGTCACAATAGTTTAATCAGCAACACGCCAAGTTGGCGTCAGTGGGCAGGCTCTGGTCTTGGGCAGAACTTGTGGTGTGGTTGAGGGCTATGTGGACTACAGAGTGCAAAAAGGAACCACTTATTTTGACATGCATTCCTTTCATATGCGTCACACTTGCATGTCCTATCTGCGTTTTTGAGGGGAGTGTGAACCCACGCCGGGGCCTGCTATGTCTCCTGTGATTGTTGTACTTGCTACAATGGAGATAGCAGGAACAGGGAGTCCATTCTGTTTTGACAACACAACTGATTTGTGTTTGGTCACTGCTTCCCTCTTGACTGAGGCCTTTTTATTTGTTCATAATCCAATCTTATCACTCACCAGCTCTGCTGTGCCTGATTCACTTAGGATTGAGCTTTAATCATTGACTCACCGCTCTCTGTTTTCTGCCCACCAAAATCCACTTTCATTGACTGAAGCCTCCTTGATCAATATCCAGTGTGCTGTGACCGAGTTACAAACAGACTGTGAAATACTTAACAGTCTTGGTATGTTCCGTAAAGGCAGATAAGACACCTGAGGCGAGAAGGAAAATGATAGCAGTGAGAGGTAGACTTATGTTTGTTGGTTCTAACTGGAAAATGGGTGGAGCCAACAAAAGGGATGATGACAACAAAGGTGAAATGGGATCTTGGGGGGGGGGGGGGGGGGTTAACAGGGTGTTGTTTAACACCCATTTTTGATTGAGCGTGGTGTTCTTATTTATTTGAGCAGAACCTGGAGGTCAGAGGATGTAGTGGACTGACTACAGGAGGGGGTGGGTACTCGGGCAGGGTGCAGGGTGGGCGGCACAGATTGGAGCCAGAGTCAAAGAGAAAGAGGACATTTCTTTGGAGTTAGTCACTGCGGGGAGAGGCTGGGCTCCCTTCCAGCTGGCCTGACGGCTCTATCAAGGAATGTGTGAGACTGTAGGCCTGGGTGGGGCTGTGCACTGAGCTGCTCCCTTTGCGAGGCAAGCTCAGGGGCAAAGAGATGTGATCCACCTCGTGGACTGCGGCGTGGTATTTCTACTCTCTAACGCAGTGTGATTTTATTTTCTGTTTATGACCGCACTTGACCCCAGTGTGCATTCCTGCATGTGTGTTTATGGGAGCTGTCTCGCCGAAGTATTGAGAACAAAAAGTGGTGAAACGTGTGTCTTATCTTGTGAGTTTGTGTGCTCAGATAAGGCCACTGAAAAGATTTCTCTTTGGCATCTTATATTTGAACATTGCATAACATTAAGTTCATCGACAAAGCTATCTCAAGAGAAATCACTCTACCAATTTGCAGCAAATCCCCTCTGGCATTAACTCCAGACCTAAATTGATACCACTGAAAAATATACCTCTGTCCTTCAGTCAGCCCTTCACCTGCTAAATATCTGACACGCCAGTCTGTTTATTACGTCTCTGTAACAAGAGTATGGGCTGGATAGTGTACACAGCTGCTGTGGTGTGTGGAAGGCTCCATACACAAACAAAGCTACAAACACATACCGGCTGGCATCTATCTCTTCTATGTCCTGCTTACTCCTGTGAAAGACCAGTTGAATAAAATCGAATCCAAAACTGCGCTCCCTTCACAAAAACATTTCAAGCTTTGCACCAGTGTTGCTGTTTTTATGGAGCATGTGTGCTAACTTTCTCCCAAGCTTTTCAGTCTCACAAACACAGTTATTGGGTGTAATTTTCAACAAGGTAATGAACAAGGCCAACTGAGGAGGGGGAGGTTAATGATGGGGTTTGAGAGGCTGTCTCGGAAGAATTTTTCGGAGGGACATGTTCCCACCGGCAGATGCCTGTCTGTACACACATCAAGTCTGGTTCTGTTTGTACCAAGACTTACAAAGAGAAGGCTTTGTTTCACAATATGCCTGTGGGTTGAAGCAATAATCCTCATAAGCTCTGTAAGATATAAGGCTAGTCACAACAAGTAAAAGTGACTCAGAATGCAGAAGGCCACAAATAATGTATAGTTGTGTCAGCAATTTCATCACTAAACTGGCCTCAGAGGCTGCTCACCTTACAGCTTGTATATTACAGTGATTTCATGTTCCACACCCTTGCAGAGTAGTCTTGGCTCACAGTGCTCACCTTTTAAGTTAATCCAGACCAGAGAGATTAAAAAGCATGTTTTACAGTTCTTTGACTTTCTAATATCTCTAAATTTGCCATTTAAACACTCATTAAAATTCTATCAAAGTGAAATGTGCTACAAAGATTATACATATTATCATCTTCAGGAGTAAATGCCACTCTTAAATAGTCGATGGATTTACAGCTTATTTTCTTGAAAGTGTGTCTTTTGCATAATTACTTGCAGAGTCAATACAGCGAACTATTTGTTAGTTAATTATTACAGACTCTAAAGCCTTTGACTCGGCAGGCCTCAGTAAATTTGAAAATTCCAAGAGTAAAACCGTAGCATGTCATGTTAGGACAAATATCTCAGAGTAACAGCTGCTTATGTGTGAGGATTCTGTTGTCTGTCTGACCTGCAGCTTAATCATGATCTGTTATTACATAAGTTAGCAACAAGGAAAATCAAGGATAGTTTTTATTGCTATTGCTAGTTAACAAATTGCTAATAGCTGAATCTCTAACTGGTGTTTGCTTTTTTTTTGTCAACAGAAGTCAAGAAAACGAAAAAAACCGACACAACATCCTGCAGAAGCCCTTGGTGTTGCTTGAGCAATCCGAGGTAAGTTCTTGTAGATTTACAAGAAAAACACATTTGTAACCATCTAGGAAAGACAGCTAAATTTCAAATGATCCATCCTCCCACCACAACACCACTTACTTTGTCTCATCCTAAAACTGCACTTCTCTACGGGCACAGAAAATTGGAATGCTTGTTGCAAAGCCTCCCTTTGAACCTGGAAGGTCATGCCTCTGCCATTCAGCTGTGAAAGGCCTGCCTTGTGGAAACCTGACACTTGGCTGCTTCTGCTCCCAGTGTGTCCTCTTTGCATCCGTCTTTCCTCTCCCCAAACAACACCTGTTCTGCCCGAACCCCCTTTCCCCCTCTTATGAAACAACTGTGTCACTCTGTTTGAACTGTATATTGTTGGCAGCTATGGACAATTTATTTCTCAGGTGTGGGGACCGATCTGAACTGCAAACAGGCCAATGACCGGCTTAGAGAGAGGCATATTTAGAGGTGCACTGTGGTTGCACTTTAGTTAACTGAAGAATTTGTCTAGGCTGGCTGTCTCCACGCTTCCCCTTGCTTCGCACACATGCCAGGCCATAATAACATGAGGGATAAATAAGCTCAGCTGTGTCTCTTGCCTTCATGGTCCCCTTTGAGGAATTCTGTAGAAGACTCATTCTGTCTGTGTTTTTACAATAGACTTGGGATGATGTCACTTGTCAATTTTAAGAAGTGACATCAACAGCAATAGCCCCATATTTCGACTTGGCTTTTTTCGCTCTGCTCTTTCAGTACTACACTCTTTCACTTATCTTTTTTATTTCCTTACCCCTACATCTCCCTCCCTCTTTTCGAAGGTAACTACTTGGGTAAAATTATACAGATGGAAAGTGAGGGTAAACAAAAAAGGGAGAAGAATTCAGTGATTACATCCTGAGGTAATTTCACACTGTGAGAGATTGGAAAATACATTAAAAAGATGCTTTCTTCACCAGCTCTTAGGAAGAATTTCTAAACATATGGATGGTGCCATCAGTTTGTGAACCAGACATTTTCAAGAGACCCACACCAGCCAACAAGAATAAGCTCCTTGTCTGAGAATTAAAATCTTTCAAATTCACTCCCCCCCTTCTCAGATGTTGCATAGCTTCAAACAAGCCTTTGGAGATGAGGGAGCCTAGATCATATGAAATGTTTGTCTGCTATTTCTGTTCGTTTCTATGGACAAAAAGAGGTGGATGTGCAAATGAAGCCACACAGTGACCTATGGGGAAAAACAAAAGATTCTCTAGTTTCAGCCAATTCCTTTGGGATGCAGAGAGGTCCAGTTGAAATACTACAACCAGTAGTGTCAGCTGATCTTAGTGAAATTTGATCTCCATGGGTTAATATGGTAAATTTTCCCTCTGGTACTAGGGAGACTTTTTTGTCCTTTCCACACTCACATTCAACATTTGTGTTTGATGCATGAAATATTGCATGTATGCTGTTAGGCTCAAGTCTTGATAGAATTATGCTGCAAGCCTCAGAAGTCACACTGAAATAGACATTGATAAGTAGGAGGTAGCCTGCTGGTGGTATGTGCAACATTTAGAATTAACATTATTCCTGCTGTTTGCATGATAAGAAAAAGTTTAAATGTATTTTAGAGAGAGAGGCATAATTTGACCTTCCAGCATTGCATGCATTCCCCAGTATTCCCTGTATGCAGGACCAGTCTATTATTAACATGTGTTAATTGATGCATTGCATGTTGAGTGTCTATGGACAGGGTCCAGTAAACTGGGAAGACTATTGAATAAACCACGTTGCATTTCAAACTACTTATCAATGATTTCTCATATATTTTTAAATTATGTAAAAACAAAGCTATGTTAATGGTTGGTAAACCAATTTGTCAAGGGAAGATGACTTGCTCATGTACACTCACCACTACATAAACAAGGTTTACTACATTTTTGAAATCCAGTGCAAAAGCATCAGTGTGGTCCTCAAATGGTGTTTAGAATGCTTTAGATTTGCTGTGTGGCAAGATCCGTAGGAGAGCAGTAGAGCAGTGCATGCCATGAACTCTTAAAACAGCCATTTTCTTTGTATGGGGTTTTCCTTTTTGGGCATCTTGGTGATTTGCAGAAAAGTACAGAGCCAAAAGTAAATTGTAAGATATACTTTGTCTCACGTTCCCTTGCTTTCACACCCATAAGTTTTATCTCCCAGTACTCTAAAGAGTTTGAAACAAAGAGATATGATGTTGACAAAAAGTTGGTTACTGGTTACAAGTGTATTCTACCAAAACACAAACTGCCTGTTGGCTAACTAACTCATACACTGCTTCCTTCCTGCCCTGGTCTTTTTTATTTTTTATTGGCTGGTGCCTGGCAAAAATACAGTTCTGCAGAAATACGATGCAATTACAGCAGACTGGTTAACGTTAAAATGTTAAACAAATACTTTTTTTTTTTAAGAAGACAGCTGTTCTTTCAGAGGGCCACAAATTACACTGCCAGATCAGATTTTCACCTCACGATTATGGTGGCCAAAAAATTACAAGAACAATATTATTCAACATTTATGGAAAAATGTAAATCTAAAACAACACTGTAGGTAAAAAATGAGAAAAGTCAAGAAATGAGTACAGCAACAAGATATATGTTATGAATACTGAAAGTGCTTAGTATTTACATATAAAAACAGATAACTAATATGCCATCTTCCGTTTGTACTATGTTCAAATTTATGATTTATCCACATCACTGACTGTAACTGAAACTTCTTTAAAGAAGACATTGCAACAGAAAATGATTCTCTGCAATTTGTTATTTTTTCCCTAAATTTTACAACTATGCTTTTATTTGGAAGAATGAGCTACTTCCTGTTAGTGGCAACAAAGAATGGTGTGAAAGTATAGAATTTCAATTGATTTTTAAGTTGCACAAAAGATTACTTAGAGACACATACTCCAAAAATAATGAAGTATCAGTTTTTAAGAGAGCTGCTTCAAGACAGTTCTCAGGCAGTCCATCTATGAGCTCACGGTATAACCGTCTGCCAATATTTTAATTATAAAGCATGATTACCATCAATACTGGTATACTGCGACAACCTTAGCTGGGTATGAAAGGAATTATGTTATTTGGGTAGAGAAGAGTGTGAGGGACTGGTCAGCTTGTTAAGATACATTAGTGGAAATCTGCCAGTACCTACATTGTCTGAGTATGTTTAAATACTAATCCAGTGAATAATGGGATCGTTGTTTTGTCATCGCAAGGGAATCTCAATTACACTAAATAATTAGGTCAGGTGATGAAATTTGTGATACTCATGAAAGCAACTATAAAAAGTACAATAATCTTCCTAATTCAATGAGGGCATTAAATAACAAAACAAGTAGTCTGCCTAGAATTGTGTTTTAGCATAAATCTGATAATCTTATTATTGATTTAGTTGTCTTCGTAGGTATCTGTGCTGTGGAGTGGAGTGGATAAATGTTTTTGTACTTTTTGCAGCTTTATGTGTGTTTTAATAAAACAACGCCAGGTAGGCTTTAACAATCATTATTTCCTCGACTGACATTAGAATTGTAGAAGAGGGGTGAAGAGGCAGGAAACAGCTGTTTTACTTAGAGTGGGTGAGATTTGCCCTCAATCAATTTTCCAAAACATTTAACACCCAAGAAGGATCTGGTGGGTGTTGTTTTGAGGTGGTTAGGGTTACATTTTTTTTAAGGGTTCTTACACCATCTAGTGTTCACTTTAGAGACATGCAAACCAGACTTTTCTTGCTTGAACAAAATCAGGTATTGTAGAATATGAATGGGGTTAAAATTAGTTGGTTTGAATAAATAGTATTTTCTGAAGATAAACTGATACACTGTTTGCAATGACTCTGTCCTAAATTTTACCTGTTCTTTACACAGGAAAACAAAAACTGAGAGTCCATCACACTTGAGCTTAAATAAAGGACAATACAGCAAGAAAGGTATCTTGTAAATCAAATTCACAATAATGCACTATATGTCACCCTGCATAGCAACATGGCCATGCATACACTATGTGTTTTTTCACTTTACCCATGTATGACCATGTTAACAGATGGCTGAAGAAGAGGAAACCAGGGAGGTGCTTTTCCAAGACTGGGAGGGTCCAGACAAAACTGGTTTGACTATTGAACAGACAAGTGATGGAGAGCTCTTTGTTAAGGAGGTGAAAGGAGAGTCACCTGCAGCACGGTCTGGAAAAGTATATGAAGGTAGCAAAATCCTTTTATCTCATCATCAAGTATGAAATATAAATGGACACATACATGCTCACTTATCCCCACATACTTTCTGTTAACTATCCTCTTGACTTGTAGGTGACCAGATTGTGGGTGCCACTGTCTACTTTGACAATATGAGCTCTGAAGAAACAGCTGAGCTACTGAAGACATTGAATCGTCACAAGGTTGGACTAAAACTACAAAACAAAGGAGACAAGTCACCTTGCTACTCACCCTTGAGCACACCGTGTCGTTCACCAATGGGCACGCTGACATGGGAAGGGAAAACCCGCTTTGGAGGTTCAAGTCCGGATATCATCCTTGTAAGTAAATGTTTTCTTGAATTATATTTCCTTTTCTGTTTCTGGGTATGTTTTGAACAAAATGTGGATATACTAATATTTCAATTTTGTCTTTCTGTTTTTTTCCCCTGTCTACAGGGTGGTGATGATGAGGACTATAAAAGAATTTACACAAAAAAGATTAAACCAAGGCTGAAGTCTGAGGATCTTGCAGAGGGTGTAGATGTTCGCACAGAGCGTCACAGCAGCACAAGCAGTGATGGCAGCACAATAACCACCATCACCCGTCGCATCACAACCTACACTGTGGATATGCCAAGCGGCATTAGTGAGCAACTTGAACTTTCAAACCCAGAGTTTAAGGGGCTAAGGCTTGAATCTGGTGATGGCTCTCCTCATATCAGAATCTCACATGGCAGTCCTTCAGGTAAAGTAGAAGAAGAAGGAGTTTTTGAAAGCAGTGGTGTCTCTTACTCTGGGAAATCAGTTGGCTCCATAGAGACACGCTGTATCAGCGGAGGAGTTAAGACCACAACCATAACAAGAGAAGTAGAAAGAGAAAAAGGTGCAGGACTAAGATTTCAAGAGCCTAACTCTGGAGTCACGGAGGGTAGAGGCCAGGGGGGCTTCGAGATCTCAAGAGGCAATGGAGAGAAAGGAGAAGGAATCATGCGTGTGTCAGAATCAATTATGACACTAGGCGGCAGCTCAAACACCGATAATGGCCAGGTTGAGGTGAGGGGTGGTGAAGGGGTTTCTTCAGCAGGTGAGAAGACAGGGTCAGCTAGCGTGTCTTTGCCGGGAAAACGCATGCAGATTATGACCTCATCTACAGAAAAAAAACAGGGGGAAGATTCAGACAAAAGCTATGGAGACAGGACAAAAGTAAAAGTATCTGAATTCAGCATCCCTTGTCCAAAGGCAAAGGGATTAAGTACTGAAATCCAGAATGTTACACATAGTGACAGCTCAACAGGACTGGACACTACATTAAAAGGAGGAAGAATAGGAGGAGCAAAGATAACAGTAAGCAATTTTACCTCAGGATATTCCTCAACTCCAGGCAAGATTTTTGTTGAAGGTGTGGATGTCAACCTTACTGGTTCAAGACAGGGAGGTGAAGTAAATGCCAAGCTACCAAGCACTGAACAAGACATCCAAACACCAGGAATAGACAGTAAAGTGCCAAAGGATGAAATACAGATCCCTATAAGTGGCACAGGAAAGTCAATACCAGAGGGAACCAGTGTTAAAGTTGAACTCAACTCAAGCATCAAAACCAAAGCAACAAATAGTGCAGACACTGATATTGATGTCAAAGGTCAACTGGTCAGAGGGAAAACTACTAGTAGTGTTGAAATATCAAAACTCCAAACAATTGGTGGAGAAATAGATGTGAAACTTCCAACAAAAGAATATGTCAAAAAAGGGGAACTTCAGATGAAAGGTCCAGTAATAGGTGGACCAAAAATCAACACACCAGAAGTTAATCTCAATCTGAGAGGTCCAGAGATAAAGGGAGATGTGGATGTGTCACTTCCGAAGATAGAGGGTGACATCAAAGCACCTGAACTTGACATAGAAGGCCCAGACATGGATATCAAAGGCCACAAAGGAGGATTTGAAATGCCAAAGATCAAAATGCCATCATTTGGCTTCGAAGGCCCACAAGCAGAGGGTCGTGATGTTTATGTCAACATTCCAAAAGGAAAGATTGACATTGAGAAACCTGATGTTGACATCAAAGCTCCAGAGATTGACATTGAAGGACTTGATGGCAAACTCAAAGGACCCAAATTAAGCATGCCCAAAATTTCTGGACCCAAAATATCCATGTCAGAAATGGATATCAGTCTAAAAGGGCCTAAAATCAAAGGTGATGTTGATGCGTCAGTTCCAAGGATCAAGGGTGACATCAAAGCTCCAAAGGTGGACATTGAAGGACCTGACATTGACATTGAAGGTAACAAAGGAGGATTCAAAATGCCAAAAATAAATATGCCATCATTTGGAGTGAAAGGTCCACATGTTGATGTCAACCTTCCCAAGGCTGATGTTGACATCAAAGCTCCAGAACTGGACATCAAAGGACCCGGGTTGGAAATTGAGAGTCCAAGTGGCAAAATCAAAGGACCCAGTATACAAATGCCATCAATTTCCGGTCCAAAAGTCTCCCTGCCAGATGTAAACGTAATCAGGAAAGATTTAAAATTTCAAGGTGATGTGGATGTGTCAGTTCCAAAGATCAAAGGTGACATCAAAGCCCCAAAGGTGGACATTGAAGGACCTGACATTGACATTGAAGGTAGCAAAGGAGGATTTGAAGGGCCAAAGATCAAAACTCCATCATTTGGCTTCAAAGGTCCGAAGTTGGAAAGTCCTGATGTTGATGGAAACCTTTCAAAAGGAAAGATTGACATTGAAGGACCTAAAGTTGACATCAAAGTTCCAGAGATTGACATAAAAGGACCCGATGGCGAACTCAAAGGACCCAAATTAAGCATGCCCAACATTTCTAGACCCAAAATATCCATGCCAGATAAGGATATCAGTGTCAAAGGGCCTAAAGTCAAAGGTGATGTGGATGTGTCAGTTCCAAAGATCGAAGGTGACATCAAAGCCCAAAAGGTGGACATTGAAGGACCTGACATTGACATTGAAGGTGGCAAAGGAAGATTTGAAATGCCAAAAATCAAAATGCCATCATTTGGCTTCAAGGGCCCAAAGTTGGAAGGTCCTGACATGGATGTAAACCTTCCTAAAGGAAATATTGACATTAAAGGACCTGCTGCTGACATCAAAGCTCCAGAGATTGACATTGAAGGACCCGATGGCAAACTCAAAGGACCCAAATTAAGCATGCCTGACATTTCTGTTCCCAAAATATCCATGCCACATATGGATATCAGTCTCAAAGGGCCTAAAGTCAAAGGTGATGTGGATGTGTCAGTTCCAAAGATCGAGGGTGACATGAAAGCTCCAAAGGTGGACATTGAAGGGCCTGACATTGAAATTGAAGGTAGCAGAGGAGGATTCAAAATGCCAAAAATAAAAATGCCATCATTTGGAGTGAAAGGCCCAAATATTGACCTGCCAGATGTTGATGTCAACCTTCCCAAGGCTGATGTTGACATAAAAGCTCCAGAGCTGGACATGAAAGGACCTGAATTGGAAATTGAGAGTCCAAGTGGAAAAATCAAAGGATCCAAATTCAAAATGCCCTCAATCTCTGGACCAAAAATCAACATGCCAGATGTGGATTTCAACCTGAAAGGGCCAAACTTTGGGGGTGATGTCGATGTGTCAGTTCCAAAGATTGAGGGTGACATCAAAGCACCTGAACTTGACATAGAAGGACCAGACATGGATATCAAAGGGGGATTTGAAATGCCAAAGATCAAAATGCCATCATTTGGCTTCAAAGGCCCAAAGTTGGAAGGTCCTGATGTTGATGTCAACCTTCCAAAAGGAAATATTGACATTGCGGGGCCTGATGTAGACATTGAAGGACCTGAAGGAAAACTCAAAGGACCCAAATTAAGCATGCCCAAAATTTCTGGTCCCAAAATATCCATGCCAGATATGGATTTCAATCTGAAAGGGCCTAAAATCAAAGGTGATGTGGATGTGTCAGTTCCAAAGATCGAGGGTGACATGAAAGCTCCAAAGGTGGACATTGAAGGGCCTGACTTTGAAATTGAAGGTAGCAAAGGAGGATTCAAAATGCCAAAAATAAAAATGCCATCATTTGGAGTGAAAGGCCCAAAAATTGACCTGCCAGATGTTGATGTCAACCTTCCCAAGGCTGATGTTGACATAAAAGCTCCAGAGCTTGACATAAAAGGACCTGAGTTGGAAATTGAGAGTCCAAGTGGAAAAATCAAAGGATCCAAATTCAAAATGCCCTCAATCTCTGGACCAAAAATCAACATGCCAGATGTGGATTTCAAACTGAAAGGGCCAAACTTTGGGGGTGATGTCGATGTGTCAGTTCCAAAGATTGAGGGTGACATCAAAGCACCTGAACTTGACATAGAAGGACCAGACATGGATATCAAAGGGGGATTTGAAATGCCAAAGATCAAAATGCCATCATTTGGCTTCAAAGGCCCAAAGTTGGAAGGTCCTGATGTTGATGTCAACCTTCCAAAAGGAAATATTGACATTGCGGGGCCTGATGTAGACATTGAAGGACCTGAAGGAAAACTCAAAGGACCCAAATTAAGCATGCCCAAAATTTCTGGTCCCAAAATATCCATGCCAGATATGGATTTCAATCTGAAAGGGCCTAAACTCAAAGGTGATGTGGATGTGTCAGTTCCAAAGATCGAGGGTGACATGAAAGCTCCAAAGGTGGACATTGAAGGGCCTGACTTTGAAATTGAAGGTAGCAAAGGAGGATTCAAAATGCCAAAAATAAAAATGCCATCATTTGGACTGAAAGGCCCAAAAATTGACCTGCCAGATGTTGATGTCAACCTTCCCAAGGCTGATGTTGACATAAAAGCTCCAGAGCTTGACATAAAAGGACCTGAGTTGGAAATTGAGAGTCCAAGTGGAAAAATCAAAGGATCCAAATTCAAAATGCCCTCAATCTCTGGACCAAAGATCGCCATGCCAGATGTGGATTTCAAACTGAAAGGGCCAAACTTTGGGGGTGATGTCGATGTGTCAGTTCCAAAGATTGAGGGTGACATCAAAGCACCTGAACTTGACATAGAAGGACCTGACATGGATATCAAAGGGGGATTTGAAATGCCAAAGATCAAAATGCCATCATTTGGCTTCAAAGGCCCAAAGTTGGAAGGTCCTGATGTTGATGTCAACCTTCCAAAAGGAAATATTGACATTGCGGGGCCTGATGTAGACATTGAAGGACCTGAAGGAAAACTCAAAGGACCCAAATTAAGCATGCCCAAAATTTCTGGTCCCAAAATATCCATGCCAGATATGGATTTCAATCTGAAAGGGCCTAAACTCAAAGGTGATGTGGATGTGTCAGTTCCAAAGATCGAGGGTGACATGAAAGCTCCAAAGGTGGACATTGAAGGGCCTGACTTTGAAATTGAAGGTAGCAAAGGAGGATTCAAAATGCCAAAAATAAAAATGCCATCATTTGGAGTGAAAGGCCCAAAAATTGACCTGCCAGATGTTGATGTCAACCTTCCCAAGGCTGATGTTGACATAAAAGCTCCAGAGCTTGACATAAAAGGACCTGAGTTGGAAATTGAGAGTCCAAGTGGAAAAATCAAAGGATCCAAATTCAAAATGCCCTCAATCTCTGGACCAAAGATCGCCATGCCAGATGTGGATTTCAAACTGAAAGGGCCAAACTTTGGGGGTGATGTCGATGTGTCAGTTCCAAAGATTGAGGGTGACATCAAAGCACCTGAACTTGACATAGAAGGACCAGACATGGATATCAAAGGGGGATTTGAAATGCCAAAGATCAAAATGCCATCATTTGGCTTCAAAGGCCCAAAGTTGGAAGGTCCTGATGTTGATGTCAACCTTCCAAAAGGAAATATTGACATTGCGGGGCCTGATGTAGACATTGAAGGACCTGAAGGAAAACTCAAAGGACCCAAATTAAGCATGCCCAAAATTTCTGGTCCCAAAATATCCATGCCAGATATGGATTTCAATCTGAAAGGGCCTAAACTCAAAGGTGATGTGGATGTGTCAGTTCCAAAGATCGAGGGTGACATGAAAGCTCCAAAGGTGGACATTGAAGGGCCTGACTTTGAAATTGAAGGTAGCAAAGGAGGATTCAAAATGCCAAAAATAAAAATGCCATCATTTGGAGTGAAAGGCCCAAAAATTGACCTGCCAGATGTTGATGTCAACCTTCCCAAGGCTGATGTTGACATAAAAGCTCCAGAGCTTGACATAAAAGGACCTGAGTTGGAAATTGAGAGTCCAAGTGGAAAAATCAAAGGATCCAAATTCAAAATGCCCTCAATCTCTGGACCAAAAATCAACATGCCAGATGTGGATTTCAACCTGAAAGGGCCAAACTTTGGGGGTGATGTCGATGTGTCAGTTCCAAAGATTGAGGGTGACATCAAAGCACCTGAACTTGACATAGAAGGACCAGACATGGATATCAAAGGGGGATTTGAAATGCCAAAGATCAAAATGCCATCATTTGGCTTCAAAGGCCCAAAGTTGGAAGGTCCTGATGTTGATGTCAACCTTCCAAAAGGAAATATTGACATTGCGGGGCCTGATGTAGACATTGAAGGACCTGAAGGAAAACTCAAAGGACCCAAATTAAGCATGCCCAAAATTTCTGGTCCCAAAATATCCATGCCAGATATGGATTTCAATCTGAAAGGGCCTAAACTCAAAGGTGATGTGGATGTGTCAGTTCCAAAGATCGAGGGTGACATGAAAGCTCCAAAGGTGGACATTGAAGGGCCTGACTTTGAAATTGAAGGTAGCAAAGGAGGATTCAAAATGCCAAAAATAAAAATGCCATCATTTGGAGTGAAAGGCCCAAAAATTGACCTGCCAGATGTTGATGTCAACCTTCCCAAGGCTGATGTTGACATAAAAGCTCCAGAGCTTGACATAAAAGGACCTGAGTTGGAAATTGAGAGTCCAAGTGGAAAAATCAAAGGATCCAAATTCAAAATGCCCTCAATCTCTGGACCAAAGATCGCCATGCCAGATGTGGATTTCAAACTGAAAGGGCCAAACTTTGGGGGTGATGTCGATGTGTCAGTTCCAAAGATTGAGGGTGACATCAAAGCACCTGAGCTTGACATAGAAGGACCAGACATGGATATCAAAGGGGGATTTGAAATGCCAAAGATCAAAATGCCATCATTTGGCTTCAAAGGCCCAAAGTTGGAAGGTCCTGATGTTGATGTCAACCTTCCAAAAGGAAATATTGACATTGCGGGGCCTGATGTAGACATTGAAGGACCTGAAGGAAAACTCAAAGGACCCAAATTAAGCATGCCCAAAATTTCTGGTCCCAAAATATCCATGCCAGATATGGATTTCAATCTGAAAGGGCCTAAACTCAAAGGTGATGTGGATGTGTCAGTTCCAAAGATCGAGGGTGACATGAAAGCTCCAAAGGTGGACATTGAAGGGCCTGACATTTACATTGAAGGTAGCAAAGGAGGATTCAAAATGCCAAAATTTAAAATGCCATCATTTGGACAGAAAGGTCCACATGTTGACATGCCAGATGTTGATGTCAACCTTCCCAAGGCTGATGTTGACATCAAACCTCCAGAGCTGGACATCAGAGGACCCAAGTTGGAAATTGAGAGTCCAAGTGGCAAAATCAAAGGACCCAAATTCAACATGCCCTCAATCTCTGGACCAAAAATCAACATGCCAGATGTGGATTTCAACCTGAAAGGCCCAAAACTCGGGGGTGATGCTGATGTATCACTTCCCAAGATAGAGGGAGACATCAAAGCACCTGAACTTGACATAGAAGGACCAGACATGGATATCAAAGGCCACAAAGGAGGATTTGAAATGCCAAAAATCAAAATGCCATCATTTGGCTTCAAAGGCCCAAAGTTAGAAGGTCCTGATGTTGATGTCAACCTTCCAAAAGGAAAGATTGACATTGAGGGACCTGCTGTTGACATCAAAGCTCCAGAGATTGACATTGAAGGACCCGATGGCAAACTCAAAGGACCTAAATTAAGCATGCCCAAAATTTCTGGACCCAAAATATCCATGCCAGATGTTGATTTTAATATTAAAGTCCCCAAAATAGAGGGAGACATGAAGTCACCCGAGCTCAATATCAAAGCCCCGAATGTTGAATTAGAAAGTCCCAAGGGTCACATTAGTGGGCCAAAGATTAAATTACCAAAGGTTTCAGGACCAAAAGTTTCCCTGCCAGATGTTGACATCAATCTAAAGGGGCCCAAATTAAAAGGAGATCTGAAAGAGGTTCAGTTGCCAAAAGCAGAGATTCCAGAGCCAGATGTTGACATTAAAGGACCAGAAATTGGATTGAAGAAAGGAAAGTTTAAAAAGCCAAAGTTTGGATTCAAATCTCATAAAGCGAAAGCCCAAGGCCCTGAACTTGACGTGAATATTGGTGAATCAAGCATGAAGGGAAAAGCTGGAGCCTCGACAAATCTTGATCTTGATGTAGAAATGACAGGTTCAAAAAGCAAGGGATATAAATTTAAGATGCCAAAATTTGGATTTAAGGGACCCAAGGTTGACCTGCCAGATGTTGATGTCAACCTTCCCAAGGCTGATGCTGACATCAAAGCTCCAGATCTGGACATCAAAGGACCCAAGTTGGAAATTGAGAGTCCAAGTGGAAAAATCAAAGGACCCAAATTAAACATGCCTTCAATCTCTGGACCAAAAATCAACATGCCAGATGTGGATTTCAACCTAAAAGGGCCAAAACTTGGGGGTGGTGTTGATGTATCACTTCCCAAGATAGAGGGAGACATCAAAGCACCTGAGCTTGACATAGAAGGACCTGACATGGATATTGAAGGTGGCAAAGGAGGATTTGAAATGCCAAAGATCAAAATGCCATCATTTGGCTTCAAAGGCCCAAAGTTGGAAGGTCCTGATGTTGATGTCAACCTTCCAAAAGGAAATATTGACATTGAGGGACCTGATGTAGACATTGAAGGACCTGATGGAAAATTCAAAGGGCCAAAATTCAGCATGCCTAAAATTTCTGGTCCCAAAATATCCATGCCAGATATGGATTTTAATCTGAAAGGGCCTAAAATCAAAGGTGATGTGGATGTGTCAGTTCCAAAGATTGAGGGTGAAATTAAAGCCCCAAATGTGGACTTTGAAGGGCCTGACATTGACATTGAAGGTGGTAAAGGAGGATTTAAAATGCCAAAAATAAAAATGCCATCATTTGGACTGAAAGCTCCACATGTTGACATGCCAGATGTTGATGTCAACCTTCCCAAGGCTGATGTTGACATCAAAGCTCCAGAGCTGGACATCAAAGGACCCAAGTTGGAAATTGAGAGTCCAAGTGGCAAAATCAAAGGACCCAAATTCAACATGCCTTCAATCTCTGGACCAAAAATCAACATGCCAGATGTGGATTTCAACCTGAAAGGCCCAAAACTTGGGGGTGATGTTGATGTATCACTTCCCAAGATAGAGGGAGACATCAAAGCACCTGAACTTGACATAGAAGGACCTGACATGGATATTGAAGGTGGAAAAGGAGGATTTGAAATGCCAAAGATCAAAATGCCATCATTTGGCTTCAGAGGCCCAAAGTTGGAAGGTCCTGATGTTGATGTCAACCTTCCAAAAGGAAATATTGACATTGAGGGACCTGATGTAGACATTGAAGGACCTGATGGAAAACTCAAAGGACCCAAATTTAAAATGCCCAAAATTTCTGGTCCCAAAATATCCATGCCAGATATGGATTTCAATCTGAAAGGGCCTAAAATCAAAGGTGATGTGGATGTGTCAGTTCCAAAGATCGAGGGTGAAATCAAAGCCCCAAATGTGGACTTTGAAGGGCCTGACATTGACATTGAAGGTAACAAAGGAGGATTCAAAATGCCTAAATTTAAAATGCCATCATTTGGACTGAAAGGTCCACATGTTGAAATGCCAGATGTTGATGTCAACCTTCCCAAGGCTGATGTTGACATCAAAGCTCCAGAGCTGGACATCAAAGGACCCAAGTTGGAAATTGAGAGTCCAAGTGGCAAAATCAAAGGACCCAAATTCAACATGCCTTCAATCTCTGGACCAAAAATCAACATGCCAGATGTGGATTTCAACCTGAAAGGCCCAAAACTTGGGGGTGATGTTGATGTATCACTTCCCAAGATAGAGGGAGACATCAAAGCACCTGAACTTGACATAGAAGGACCAGACATTGACATTGGAGGTGGCCACAAAGGAGGATTTGAAATGCCAAAGATCAAAATGCCATCATTTGGCTTCAAAGGCCCAAAGTTGGAAGGTCCTGATGTTGATGTCAACCTTCCAAAAGGAAATATTGACATTGAGGGACCTGATGTAGACATTGAAGGACCTGATGGAAAATTCAAAGGGCCAAAATTCAGCATGCCTAAAATTTCTGGTCCCAAAATATCCATGCCAGATATGGATTTCAATCTGAAAGGGCCTAAAATCAAAGGTGATGTGGATGTGTCAGTTCCAAAGATTGAGGGTGAAATCAAAGCCCCAAATGTGGACTTTGAAGGGCCTGACATTGACATTGACGGTAACAAAGGAGGATTCAAAATGCCTAAATTTAAAATGCCATCATTTGGACAGAAAGGTCCACATGTTGACATGCCAGATGTTGATGTCAACCTTCCCAAGGCTGATGTTGACATCAAAGCTCCAGAGCTGGACATCAAAGGACCCAAGTTGGAAATTGAGAGTCCAAGTGGCAAAATCAAAGGACCCAAATTCAACATGCCTTCAATCTCTGGACCAAAAATCAACATGCCAGATGTGGATTTCAACCTGAAAGGCCCAAAACTTGGGGGTGATGTTGATGTATCACTTCCCAAGATAGAGGGAGACATCAAAGCACCTGAACTTGACATAGAAGGACCAGACATTGACATTGGAGGTGGCCACAAAGGAGGATTTGAAATGCCAAAGATCAAAATGCCATCATTTGGCTTCAAAGGCCCAAAGTTGGAAGGTCCTGATGTTGATGTCAACCTTCCAAAAGGAAATATTGACATTGAGGGACCTGATGTAGACATTGAAGGACCTGATGGAAAACTCAAAGGGCCAAAATTCAGCATGCCCAAAATTTCTGGACCCAAAATATCCATGCCAGATATGGATTTCAATCTGAAAGGGCCTAAACTTGGGGGTGGTGTTGATGTATCACTACCTAAGATAGAGGGAGACATCAAAGCACCTGAACTTGACATAGAAGGACCTGACATGAATATCAAAGGCCACAAAGGAGGATTTGATATGCCAAAGATCAAAATGCCATCATTTGGCTTCAAAGGCCCAAAGTTGGAAGGTCCTGATGTTGATGTCAACCTTCCAAAAGGAAATATTGACATTGAGGGACCTGATGTAGACATTGAAGGACCTGATGGAAAACTCAAAGGACCCAAATTTAAAATGCCCAAAATTTCTGGTCCCAAAATATCCATGCCAGATATGGATTTCAATCTGAAAGGGCCTAAAATCAAAGGTGATGTGGATGTGTCAGTTCCAAAGATCGAGGGTGAAATCAAAGCCCCAAATGTGGACTTTGAAGGGCCTGACATTGACATTGAAGGTAACAAAGGAGGATTCAAAATGCCTAAATTTAAAATGCCATCATTTGGACTGAAAACTCCACATGTTGAAATGCCAGATGTTGATGTCAACCTTCCCAAGGCTGATGTTGACATCAAAGCTCCAGAGCTGGACATCAAAGGACCCAAGTTGGAAATTGAGAGTCCAAGTGGAAAAATCAAAGGACCCAAATTAAACATGCCTTCAATCTCTGGACCAAAAATCAACATGCCAGATGTGGATTTCAACCTGAAAGGCCCAAAACTTGGGGGTGGTGTTGATGTATCACTTCCCAAGATAGAGGGAGACATCAAAGCACCTGAACTTGACATAGAAGGACCAGACATTGACATTGGAGGTGGCCACAAAGGAGGATTTGAAATGCCAAAGATCAAAATGCCATCATTTGGCTTCAAAGGCCCAAAGTTGGAAAGTCCTGATGTTGATGTCAACCTTCCAAAAGGAAATATTGACATTGAGGGACCTGATGTAGACATTGAAGGACCTGATGGAAAACTCAAAGGACCCAAATTTAAAATGCCCAAAATTTCTGGTCCCAAAATATCCATGCCAGATATGGATTTCAATCTGAAAGGGCCTAAAATCAAAGGTGATGTGGATGTGTCAGTTCCAAAGATTGAGGGTGAAATCAAAGCCCCAAATGTGGACTTTGAAGGGCCAGACATTGACATTGGAGGTGGCCACAAAGGAGGATTTGAAATGCCAAAGATCAAAATGCCATCATTTGGCTTCAAAGGCCCAAAGTTGGAAGGTCCTGATGTTGATGTCAACCTTCCAAAAGGAAATATTGACATTGAGGGACCTGATGTAGACATTGAAGGACCTGATGGAAAACTCAAAGGGCCAAAATTCAGCATGCCCAAAATTTCTGGACCCAAAATATCCATGCCAGATATGGATTTCAATCTGAAAGGGCCTAAACTTGGGGGTGGTGTTGATGTATCACTACCTAAGATAGAGGGAGACATCAAAGCACCTGAACTTGACATAGAAGGACCTGACATGAATATCAAAGGCCACAAAGGAGGATTTGATATGCCAAAGATCAAAATGCCATCATTTGGCTTCAAAGGCCCAAAGTTGGAAGGTCCTGATGTTGATGTCAACCTTCCAAAAGGAAATATTGACATTGAGGGACCTGATGTAGACATTGAAGGACCTGATGGAAAACTCAAAGGACCCAAATTTAAAATGCCCAAAATTTCTGGTCCCAAAATATCCATGCCAGATATGGATTTCAATCTGAAAGGGCCTAAAATCAAAGGTGATGTGGATGTGTCAGTTCCAAAGATCGAGGGTGAAATCAAAGCCCCAAATGTGGACTTTGAAGGGCCTGACATTGACATTGAAGGTAACAAAGGAGGATTCAAAATGCCTAAATTTAAAATGCCATCATTTGGACTGAAAACTCCACATGTTGAAATGCCAGATGTTGATGTCAACCTTCCCAAGGCTGATGTTGACATCAAAGCTCCAGAGCTGGACATCAAAGGACCCAAGTTGGAAATTGAGAGTCCAAGTGGAAAAATCAAAGGACCCAAATTAAACATGCCTTCAATCTCTGGACCAAAAATCAACATGCCAGATGTGGATTTCAACCTGAAAGGCCCAAAACTTGGGGGTGGTGTTGATGTATCACTTCCCAAGATAGAGGGAGACATCAAAGCACCTGAACTTGACATAGAAGGACCAGACATTGACATTGGAGGTGGCCACAAAGGAGGATTTGAAATGCCAAAGATCAAAATGCCATCATTTGGCTTCAGAGGCCCAAAGTTGGAAAGTCCTGATGTTGATGTCAACCTTCCAAAAGGAAATATTGACATTGAGGGACCTGATGTAGACATTGAAGGACCTGATGGAAAACTCAAAGGACCCAAATTTAAAATGCCCAAAATTTCTGGTCCCAAAATATCCATGCCAGATATGGATTTCAATCTGAAAGGGCCTAAAATCAAAGGTGATGTGGATGTGTCAGTTCCAAAGATTGAGGGTGAAATCAAAGCCCCAAATGTGGACTTTGAAGGGCCTGACATTGACATTGACGGTAACAAAGGAGGATTCAAAATGCCTAAATTTAAAATGCCATCATTTGGACTAAAAGCTCCACATGTTGAAATGCCAGATGTTGATGTCAACCTTCCCAAGGCTGATGTTGACATCAAAGCTCCAGAGCTGGACATCAAAGGACCCAAGTTGGAAATTGAGAGTCCAAGTGGCAAAATCAAAGGACCCAAATTAAACATGCCCTCAATCTCTGGACCAAAAATCAACATGCCAGATGTGGATTTCAACCTGAAAGGCCCAAAACTTGGGGGTGGTGTTGATGTATCACTACCTAAGATAGAGGGAGACATCAAAGCACCTGAACTTGACATAGAAGGACCTGACATGGATATTGAAGGTGGAAAAGGAGGATTTGAAATGCCAAAGATCAAAATGCCATCATTTGGCTTCAGAGGCCCAAAGTTGGAAGGTCCTGATGTTGATGTCAACCTTCCCAAGGCTGATGTTGACATCAAAGCTCCAGAGCTGGACATCAAAGGACCCAAGTTGGAAATTGAGAGTCCAAGTGGCAAAATCAAAGGACCCAAATTCAACATGCCTTCAATCTCTGGACCAAAAATCAACATGCCAGATGTGGATTTCAACCTGAAAGGCCCAAAACTCGGGGGTGATGCTGATGTATCACTTCCCAAGATAGAGGGAGACATCAAAGCACCTGAACTTGACATAGAAGGACCAGACATTGACATTGGAGGTGGCCACAAAGGAGGATTTGAAATGCCAAAGATCAAGATGCCATCATTTGGCTTCAAAGGCCCAAAGTTGGAAGGTCCTGATGTTGATGTCAACCTTCCAAAAGGAAATATTGACATTGAGGGACCTGATGTAGACATTGAAGGACCTGATGGAAAATTCAAAGGGCCAAAATTCAGCATGCCTAAAATTTCTGGTCCCAAAATATCCATGCCAGATATGGATTTCAATCTGAAAGGGCCTAAAATCAAAGGTGATGTGGATGTGTCAGTTCCAAAGATCAAGGGTGACATCAAAGCTCCTAAGGTGGACTTTGAAGGGCCTGACATTGACATTGAAGGTAGCAAAGGAGGATTCAAAATGCCAACATTTAAAATGCCATCATTTGGACTGAAAGGTCCACATGTTGAAATGCCAGATGTTGATGTCAACCTTCCCAAGGCTGATGTTGACATCAAAGCTCCAGAGCTGGACATCAAAGGACCCAAGTTGGAAATTGAGAGTCCAAGTGGCAAAATCAAAGGACCCAAATTCAACATGCCTTCAATCTCTGGACCAAAAATCAACATGCCAGATGTGGATTTCAACCTGAAAGGCCCAAAACTTGGGGGTGATGTTGATGTATCACTTCCCAAGATAGAGGGAGACATCAAAGCACCTGAACTTGACATAGAAGGACCAGACATTGACATTGGAGGTGGCCACAAAGGAGGATTTGAAATGCCAAAGATCAAAATGCCATCATTTGGCTTCAAAGGCCCAAAGTTGGAAGGTCCTGATGTTGATGTCAACCTTCCAAAAAGAAATATTGACATTGAGGGACCTGATGTAGACATTGAAGGACCTGATGGAAAATTCAAAGGGCCAAAATTCAGCATGCCTAAAATTTCTGGTCCCAAAATATCCATGCCAGACATGGATTTCAATCTGAAAGGGCCTAAACTCAAAGGTGATGTGGATGTGTCAGTTCCAAAGATCAAGGGTGACATCAAAGCTCCTAAGGTGGACATTGAAGGGCCTGACATTGACATTGAAGGTGGTAAAGGAGGATTCAAAATGCCAACATTTAAAATGCCATCATTTGGACTAAAAGGTCCACATGTCGACATGCCAGATGTTGATGTCAACCTTCCCAAGGCTGATGTTGACATCAAAGCTCCAGAGCTGGACATAAAAGGACCCAAGTTGGAAATTGAGAGTCCAAGTGGCAAAATCAAAGGACCCAAATTAAACATGCCCTCAATCTCTGGACCAAAAATCAACATGCCAGATGTGGATTTCAACCTGAAAGGCCCAAAACTTGGGGGTGATGTTGATGTATCACTTCCCAAGATAGAGGGAGACATCAAAGCACCTGAACTTGACATAGAAGGACCTGACATGAATATCAAAGGCCACAAAGGAGGATTTGATATGCCAAAGATCAAAATGCCATCATTTGGCTTCAAAGGCCCAAAGTTGGAAGGTCCTGATGTTGATGTCAACCTTCCAAAAGGAAATATTGACATTGAGGGACCTGATGTAGACATTGAAGGACCTGATGGAAAATTCAAAGGGCCAAAATTCAGCATGCCCAAAATTTCTGGACCCAAAATATCCATGCCAGATATGGATTTCAATCTGAAAGGGCCTAAACTCAAAGGTGATGTGGATGTGTCAGTTCCAAAGATCGAGGGTGACATCAAAGCTCCTAAGGTGGACATTGAAGGGCCTGACATTGACATTGAAGGTGGTAAAGGAGGATTTAAAATGCCAAAAATAAAAACGCCATCTTTTGGATTGAAAGGTCCACATGTTGACCTGCCAGATGTTGATGTCAACCTTCCCAAGGCTGATGTTGACATCAAAGCTCCAGAGCTGGACATCAAAGGACCCAAGTTGGAAATTGAGAGTCCAAGTGGCAAAATCAAAGGACCCAAATTCAACATGCCTTCAATCTCTGGACCAAAAATCAACATGCCAGATGTGGATTTCAACCTAAAAGGACCAAAACTTGGGGGTGATGTTGCTGTATCACTTCCCAAGATAGAGGGAGACATCAAAGCACCTGAACTTGACATAGAAGGACCAGACATGGATATCAAAGGAGGATTTGATATGCCAAAGATCAAAATGCCATCATTTGGCTTCAAAGGCCCAAAGTTGGAAGGTCCTGATGTTGATGTCAACCTTCCAAAAGGAAATATTGACATTGAGGGACCTGATGTAGACATTGAAGGACCTGATGGAAAATTCAAAGGACCCAAATTCAGCATGCCCAAAATTTCTGGTCCCAAAATCTCCATGCCAGACATGGATTTCAGTCTTAAAGGGCCTAAAGTCAAAGGTGATGTGGATGTGTCAGTTCCAAAGATTGAGAGTGACATCCAAGGTCCAAGTGCAAATATATCAGGTCCAGCTATTGGTATGGAGTCTGGCTCAAGCAGTTTTGGCAAAATGGGTGTGTCTTTTCCCAAATTCAAAGGTCCTAAGTTTGGAATGAAAGCCCCTGATGTTTCATTTACAACAGCTGAAGGAAGTTTAGACCCTGAAAGTGACATACATGTAAAGGGGAAGAAGGGTAAATTCAAACTTCAAGGAAAAGGAAAAGTCAAGAAACCTGATACTGAGGTGACACCACCAGCAGCAGACTTGGATCTTGACACACCTCATTACCGAGTGAAAGGAACAAAGGGGAAAAAGCCTCTTTTCGGAAAAATTCATTTTCCCGATGTGGAGTTAGACATCAAAACACCAAAGACAAAATTAGATGGATCTTTATCAGAGGGATTAAAATCTTCTGACATAGATATGCCATCTGCTAGCCTGACCACTGCCACAACAAAGGTTAGTTTGGAAGGGCCAGATGGAAAATTCAAGTCCCCTGACATAAAACCTCCAAATGTGAACCTCTCTGCCTCTGGTATTGATACAGATTTAAAAGGAAAAGCAGATGCAACACTGTCTGGAGGTATTAAAGGCCCAAACATTAATGTGAAAGGTGATGCAAGGATTGGCACCGGTATCTCAGGGACCACTGCAATTAGTGGCCTTCACTTCCCAGAAGGTAGTGTGACCTTTCCCAAAATGAAAGTACCAAAATTTGGTATTCTTCTGCCTCAGATGGAAGGGCAGCAGCGTGGAGGTCATTGTAGTTCAGAACTTGGAGCAAGCGGAGGAATAAACACACAGTCTCCATCTGTTAGTCTTGTCAGTTCGCAGGACATTGAGATTTCCAGTCCAGAATTTAGACATAGTGAAGGCAAAGTAAAAGTGAAGATACCAAAGTTTTTCGGAAAACCAAAAGCAAAAGGCAGTAGTGTAGGTGACCTTAGAGGACCAGAGGTAGTCTCCAAGGACACTGGGGAATTGAACTTAGCACTGGAGGGTGATACTGGGCTGAATGTGTCATCTAAAGGAAAGTCAGCCTCACTAGATCTATTTAAAAAATCGAGGCACCGATCCTCTTCTCTTAGTGATGAGGGAGAGCTTGCCATTAGCTCTCCTTCCACTCACTTAGAGGCTGAAGAGGGAGACATTTCATTAGACCTTGGAGGAAGCAAGGTAAAAGGAAAGAAAGGCAAGTTGAAGTTTGGCACCTTTGGAGGTTTTGGTTCAAAGTCAAAAGGCTCATATGAAGTGACACTTGGTGAGGACAGTGAAGCAAGAGCAGAAGGAAGTGCAGGTATTTCTCTACCCTCCAAGAAATCTAGATTGTCTTCATCTTCAAGCAGTGACAGTGGTTCAAGAGGTGGTTTCAGGTTCCCAAGACTTGAACTATCTGTTTCACCCAAAAAATAAATATTTTGGAAGACAACTGACCTTTATCATATACACCCAAACACCCTCTCCTGACACGACAGGTTACTTATACACTAGTCTTTAAATAGTTTAGAGGGCATACAAGGTCATCTCATTGATGTCAACCATGAGTCAAACTTTCTTTAATAATGGACCTGAGTGCATAAGATTGTTCAAAATCCCTTTCAAGTGTAAATAAGATTGATTTGTATTGTAAAAAATAAAAGTAGCCGTTTTTTTGTACATAGTCCAGAGTTATTGAAAAAATTCCATCTCACCTTTTATCAACAATTCAATACAAGTTTTGCCATTTTGTAAAATGTCATTCTATAAGATGAATATTTTTAAGACTGGATGTGGTATAACTGAATCAAGGGAGCTATTACACAGAACAGACAGTTAGGCAAGTTATTTTGAAGGACAACGTTGTTAATACACTTTGATATTTACATACATACATACATACATACATACATAAGCACCTACCATTGTTTATGGGTGAAATTATTTTATTTTTAAGCTTTAGTGTTATAAAACCTGTGCAAAAATCATATTTTGACATAGATCTGGCCCTTTTACAACACAATATGAAAAGAAATAACATGTTGTATATAGCTTAACACAATTGCAAAGACAATCACTATTTCAAAACTATCAACCCTCTGAAGTGCTGTCTATAGTTTTGTTTATTCTAATGAACATTTTTCAACTTTGACGTTATGTGCAAATTAAAAAAATGCATTTGCTAATTTTTTAAAACATATTTCAATCCCTTGTCTTGTCATTTTCATGCTCGCCTATTTTCCAATTGTCTGTATTTTATTTCCTTGTTTTTCTGCCACTGCCTTTGTACACACATTTGATTAAGAAAAATGTAACAAATAAACAGTCACTTTTGGATGTCATTTGTTATTGAGAGAAAACACAACAATAATTTTATCCAAGTTTTGATTACCTTCTTAAGAAAAATAAGAAATTGGCAATATCCATGCATTTATACCAAATACTGAATATTAATACATATAAGTAAAAAAAAAAATTGCCACAAAAAAGACATTTAATGCCATGTTTGGTATAGCGAATAAAGAAAAAAAAAGGGAACACTGATTATATAGCAATGTTTACTGTAATTATGAGCCTAATCCAAAAGATGTCAGGTCTTAAATTTCCAAAAGCTTTAGGGAAGTTGGGTGCCCTGACATTTAAGGAAAAACTGATCCAAAATAAAGGGCTATAGACCCCTTTACTGTAAGACTCAACATCTACAGACCCAAGTTCTGTAGAGTCCAACAAGATCACAACTATTTCAGATCAACTGGTGTTCTGCTTTAAGAGTGTACCTGCTCTAAATGTATCTGTGGTTGTTATACAGGCCGTTGAAACATGAAAAGTCCTTGTTAACATTCTAGTTTTTTTTGGAACGTCAAATTACACTTATTAGACATTTCCAGAATTGAAACCCTAAAGGTGTTTACATGAGGTGCATTCAGCCTCTAAACAGGGTCACTGTTTACAACAAAATACAGGCTGTGTCTGTGATGCAATCTGTTGCAGCTTCGAACTCTGTTGACTGTATTCAACCTTAGATGAATCCAGTTTTGGCTACACATACATACATAATAACTGCTGGAATCCTTAACCCAATTTTCCCTGTCTGTAATTAATGCAGAAAGACTGAATCACATGTAAACCAACCAGTATCAGAAACAGACAGAAAATATTTAACTGAAAGATTGTTTAAAAAAAAAAAAAAAAAAAAAAAAAAGAGTTTTTATTTATGATAAAAGAGGATGTTTACATTTTGGATATCAGCAAAAACCCAATATTCTGCATTCCTATAATAAATGATAACTTTTTTCAGTACAGCACTTTTGAAAAAGCTGCAAATTGTTTTATTAAGGCAGCAAAACCAAAACAGTTGCTCATAAATATCACAATCACATTACAATAAATGAGGAAAAATATAAATGTACAAACTCTTAAGAACATAAATTAGTAAGTAGTAAGTAATTAGTAAGTAATTTCACAATTAAAATTTGATCAAATGAAGTTCAAACCCAGATCAAATCTGGAGGCTCTCTGATATAGAAGGGATTTGAAAGAGATCAGTCACTGGACTAACCTGATCTCCTCGGGTTCGTTAATTTTAGAACTTCAGAGCCCTGGCAGCAATTACTTTGTCCTCTTTGGTTCCCAATCTTGAACCTGGAACAAACAGTCAACCTTTGACTGAGGATATTCACATATGTGTCAGCTCTAATGGTACCAACAGGCCTGAAAATGTGGCTAGGAAAAAGGCCATGGGGATCTTAGAGAGTCACCTTTAAAATATCAAAGGCAACTCTAAAACATACAAGGCCAGAGTTAATATGCTTAAGCAGAATGATGTGGACATGATTATACGTTTTGAGTTCATCAATTGATTTTTAACACTGATGTGAAATTTAACTGCTAGATAAATTTGGAGTACTCTTAGAGATGATACGGCACTTTCACACACTGACATTCAAAGATTTTTTTGTAAATTCAAAAACACCATTAACCCTTTGGTTTACTGATAATTAATATGCTTTCTTTTAATTATTCTTTAAATCATCCAGTTCCATAACTTATAATCTACCAAAGAGGTACACTTGATAAAAAAGCAGTTCAATTAAGGAAATAAAGAAACCTAAAAGCAAAACAGAAAAGATATCAAAATAAAAGCATGACAAAAAAAAAGTTTTCTTTTGAGTTTCTGAGAAGTTTCATTCGTTGCATTTTTGTTCTGCATTTTCTTAATCTTTAATGAATATTTTCATGACATTGTGTCTTAAAATAATCATGAGGTGAAAGTCTGATGTTGTGACAGCTGCACCCAACCTGCTGCTCAAAAAGTCAGAAACTTGGTGCTAAGAGTCAAAACTTAGCTGCCAAACATCAACTCTGTACATCCTCCTTTTTCAAAAGTTGACTTGGATTTTAAGGCACAGTGTGAAAAATCACTCATCCAGATTAAGATGTAACTCTCTTGTTCATTTGGGGAGGTGTTTCTGTAATTGTATTGATCAACATCTAATTATGACTCCTGTGTAGCTCTGTCTCTGAGTCATGAGAGTAAACCAGTGCTGCAGACCAGACAGCTGAACAAGGAGTCAACACCTGCAAAGCCACATTTTTTCATTTTATTATGTGATTCCTTAGAATCATAAATTTATCAATAAACTCTGATTTTAAGGGAAGGTCATTAACTCAAATACAGTGATGTTATATGGCTTAGTGAAAGGTCACACTGATTGTTGGAGACTAACTGTACTAATGTGTGAACCATGATTATTGCCATTGAAGTGACATGCTTTCTAAGCCACATCATGCCCCTTGTCTTCCACTTATAGTGTGTAACAGAAGTGTGTTCTCATTCACTTTTGGTACATACAGTTAATGTTTATCAAACAGCAATATGTCACTTTACTATATAAGGTAGTTATGATGTGGTTTCACTGTCATAGTTTTTTCAGCAGTTTAGCAAACAAATGATTCTACAACTCACTGTTATTGACAGCCTTTCAGTAGATTTACACACTGTGCTCTGCTGTAATTTGTCTTACATGGGGTATTCTTGAAAAAAATATTGATCAACTTGGCAAGATTTAAAAAAATCTGTAACTGTACCTTTACATGCCTGACCCCCTTGACTGTGCTTGTGTAATACACTTCTTTGAAACCGTCCTTTAAAATCTATTCTTTTAAAAGGATATGCTCAAGATGCCATCTAGTGGCTGAATGAACCACACTACAACTGTTCCAGAGATCAAGATAAAAACGCAGCCCACCTGCAATGTATTTTTATGTTTTGTCCAAAATCTTTTTCTGACTTATACATTTGTACAAACACACAAGTTGTAGAACTAAATGTAGTCCTGGACCTTTGAATGATTTTAATTCATTATCATTATGAACACTCAAACAAATCACAGCCTACAGTTCTAGCTTCAGTGATAATACAATTCAAACACTGCTATTGAAGATCTTGAAGGTCACATTTAAACCTGAAAACAAACAAGTGTAACAGAAACATGGTTCATGCAGTAAGGCTTTGTAAGAAGCAGTATTTTTTGGCTCATTCACAGGATGTGATCCTTGTGTTCCTGGTTGCTTGAATGCTATTGTTGTTGTAGAGCAGAGGAAGGAACTTATCAGGAGTTTCCTTTTAGAGAGGAAAGTGCTCTCCTCCTATTCAGAGAGAGGTTAACATTTTTGCACTGAAAGGGGGGCAAGAGAGAAAAAAGCTGGAACAATCCTGCACAGTGGTGGTGTTAGTTATTGGATTTCTTGCAGTTTCATCTGTTTTAGAGGATCGTTCAACTGGTTTAATACTGAGGACCGACTCATAGGATCAACTTCTCAGGTAAGAAAAAGTTTGCTGATTGCAGAGACATTGTCCGTAAATGATTTTTATAAACATATATATGATTACATGAGATTTTAAATATACCAGTAATTTTACTCGGTTCCTTTGACAAAAAGTCTGATCATTTTTTGATGATGCATTCTGGTTATGATTAAGGTTATATACAGGCATACCCAAAACAGTGTGTATCACTGACCTACTTATTCAGAAAGTAACCTTGTTTGCAGTTTTCAGCCAAAAACTGAACATTAAACTTTGGTTTAAATGGTCCATAGTGCGTGTCCTCAATGCAGATTGGAAAGCTGCATATCCACATTATCTCCTCTGCTGGTCACCAACATGGGATAAGGAATTCAATGTATAGAGTGTATAGAGAAACATCTACAAATGCAGCATTTTATGTCAAAAATAACATCTCCCTGTGTGTGAATAACAGTGCAAGCAGTGTGTTGTTAAGGTCATTATGTTAGCACGTGTTGTTGGTGTGGTTGAGTTAATCTATGCATTTTGAGTCCTCCAGCACTGAATTATTTCTAGTAGTTGTTGGAGAGACTGCAGGGTGTTCCCAATTGTGTTTGATCACTTAATCAGCAATATTTCCTAGTGTGATCCTTGAAAAATAGAAATAAGCATGTACAGGAAAATACCAGACAAAAAATTTCCATATTGTCATGACAGTTTGTTCCCCAGGAAGACAGATGTTGGATGATAATTTTTCCTTACCGGTCTGACATCTGACATCTCATGTGTCATGCAGAGTGCAGCCAGATGGTGTCCTTGACTCCTGCAAAAATAAAAGAGGTCACCCAGTGTGATGCTTCTTCCTATACATTAGACCATATCTCACTTTAATGGGCCAGGAAAAGCATGATGCACCAAAAATGCAAAGACATTGAGATAGGCTTTGCAAAATTTCCCCCCATTTTAACAGTGAAAGCTTTATGTAAAATCAAGTTGCATGTCCTGGTAGCATAAGTGTATAAGCATGTTGAAAGACAAATTTAGGGAAACTACCCCTTTTGCTCAATGACATGTTTTATTATTAACATGATGCACATACAAAAAAGGGGGATTTTGTTAAAGCTGCTTTCTGATATAATTTCAAAAGGCATCAAGTGCTGCATGCCTCTGGACTTAATTAAAAAAGGGCATGATACATGAGTTTTTCAGCAGTGAAATAGGGTATTCAAGTGTAATCTATTACTGCTTTAAACAATACTAAACCATTAATGTGATAAAACATTTGTATTAGTTAGAAGTATAAATGTATAGAGCCAGACTTCTACATTTAGACTGTTTTGTCATAAAACAGCAAGAACAACACCAACACTGACAAATTATTGTCATAAAATTATAATTTGCATAACTGTGCCTGTGATAAAGAGTGTCCTGTCAGGCTGTAGACCAACAAAGTGAGGTCAGTCACTCCACATTTTTATGTACATGTAAACATAAAGCAATGAAGTTTATTACACAACGTAATCGGACTGTATCACATAGTACCATGGTTCAAATGTTTACAGACCCAAATTTGTAATCATACATACAGCCAGAGGTCTTGATACTTTAAATTAATGGATGCCATTACTTTGGCAATGGCGTAAAGATAATCACTATCCCCGTTGTGATCCAGTAGATATCAAAAGATGAAGGTCTTTGCCACAGGACAAAGACAACGCCTTTTTCAGACAAAGGAAACAAAAGAGCAACAAAACAGGCACTGCTGTAGATACACAAGCTTGAAGCACACAAACAAACACTGTCACTAGCAAATTCCCCAGCAGAGCCCAGTTGTTCTGTGCAACTCCTTTTGGGCTTCAAAACAACAGTATACAATCAAAAATATTTTTGTACACAGAAAAAGAGCTCATCAATTATTCAGTATTTTGCCTCCTGACTGTGAAATAATATTTGAGGCTTATCTGTTTCTCATTGTATCATTAGCATAAACACTTGGCATAAACAAACACTGATTCAAACGCTTCATGCAGATTTCTGCCCCGTGTCGCTCCTATCATACTCTGGATTTAAATGATACATTGGCTTAAACCTTTTATTCTACATCATGTAATTCTAAATGACCTATGTGGTGATCATGATGTTGAACCCGAAGACACGAGTAGTTGTGGTGAAATCATCAGTTAATTTTAGCTGAAAGGACTACTCAGCTGAAATCACTGTTGAAAAATATTTTCCCCTATGAGGCATGACCATCTGTGGGTGTGTTTCCAGGATCTAAGAACCATAATAATATGCAATATAGGACCAGAAACCATTGCAACATCTTTATATGTCTGATCAATGACTGTCCCTGTTACATAACACAAACAGCCATGGTTCAGGTAGATCCCAGTATAAATAAAAGCTGGTTTTATCCACTGCTCTACACCTGCAGTGGGAGGTTGTGGAGGCGGATGAGAGAGAGAGAGAGAGAGAGAGAGAGAGAGACAGAGAGAGAGAGAGAGAGAGAGAGAGAGAGAGAGAGAGAGAGAGAGAGATTATAATACTGAAATTCTGTAGTTTCAGTGTAAGGTTCTTCTCTTGATTTTCCAAAAGACTATGGTATCAGGAGTAACCAGGATTTGAAAATAGAAGTTAAGCTCACAGCAGTTTTATCATATCAAAGTAAAAACCATGAAACATGGCATGGTCCTGAGTAGAATACAAACATTTCTCCCAACTTGAGTCCACTCTGACCAACAGGGTTTCTTTGAAAAGGGTTTGTGACAAGATTTTAGGCTGGCAGAGCCCACAAAGCCACTCCACACTACTCCACACATTCAAGAAACACTTAACACATGATATTCTACTGTCAATGACCACTACCAAGCTTAATGAGACAGATTTGATTGTATACAAAAAGTTTGACAACACACAAAGCTATACAACAATTACAGACACCAAAACTATCCAACAAGTTATTAAATCATAGATCAAATCACGATCTGGAATAAATTGTCCCAGATTCTTGAATTCTTTTTATATCAACATATCGCGATGGGCTGTAACAACAAGACTGAAACTCATGTAATCTAATTATCAGTGGCTAATCATCAACATATTGGGGAGAGTGGGGTAAGTTGAGCCAAAGGGTAAGCTGAGCCACCCCCTGTTGCTTGGAAATATTAAAAGAAATTGATCATGTGACCAAATATTTAGGAGATGGGCATCAATTCATGGAGTCTGTGAAGGTTAGAAGCACATGGGTGAAGGGGTTAGACATTTATTTACAAAAAAACATTTTTCACTCTAGAAAGTGAATTTAGTCTGTTATAAGTTTGATAAGAATTGTGTTCAGACCAAAAAAGATCATTTTAAATTTGTTTTATACATCAATTGTGGTATCTATGAGCTACAACATGAGGTCAAAAACCTAACACAAAAGTCCACCATTTTAGCTTAGAGGACTAATAAAGTCATAATAGTAGTTCTGAGGTAAGTTGAGCCAGTAGCTCAACTGAGAAAGTAAAGGAGTCTGATGAGAGGATCAGAGTTTCAGGACAGATTGTTGAGATGTGTTACTTTTTCTTTTCAAGAATACAGCTGTGAATGTTCTGAATCACTTCTCATGTTAAAATGTCTTTTTACAAAACAGCTTTTTAACAGTTATATGCAATAATAATAATAAAAAATATTGTACCAGTTGAATAGCGTATAATAGATAAAAATGCACATGAATGTGAAGAAGTGACTGTTATTTGGGAGAGAGAACGTGAGGGAGGGCTGGGGTGGAGAGTGTGTGTGCGTGTGTGTGTGGGTAAGTTGACCATAGGAGAATACTTTTTTTTGGCACGCTATATTATCTAGACAGTTGTGTTTACACTCATTCTGTTGGTTTGCAGGGATGCACATCATCTTGAACTATGCAGATACACTAGTTACAGACAAAACTATGATTGCCTTGATGTAGTGATCCCAAATATGAAAAATGGCTCAACTTACCCCACTCTCCGTTACTGATACAGACATTGGTACAGTTTATGTTACTTACCAACCATGATGAAAATGTTGTTCCTTGTAACTTGCGCTAACTTGGCACAAGCAGTTGTATCCATTATAAACCGTTACATCTTGGCCCTGTTACATGACAACGGCTTGTGACAGTTAAGTTGGCAAAAAGAAACGAAACTTTATCGCGCTTTTCTCGTCCTGATTTGCAGATTAGTCGCCTGGCGCCGCAGGAAGGAAGATTAGGGAGGTCAGGACAATCATTCGGCTAAATTTTCAAAGTCAACTAGCTTCTTTTTCTTCTCCTTCGTGTTTCTTCGTGCTTCTTCGTGTCTTCGGCGATTGGCGTCCAGCTTTTTGGTGCTAGTTAACTAGCTGTCATCCGGTGTACGTTTTCATTGGAAGTAAACCTGGCGTTACGACGACGCCGCGCTCAGGTCAGCCAATCAGTGATTGTTTCAGTTGGCGCGTGTGAGCTGTTCGTGCGCATGCTCAGTCTGAAGCTGTGTGCAGAACACCTGAAATCGGGGAAACGTCCCTCACGTTGATTTTGTTGGACAGTGGGCACTCGTGTCGCCGGACACCGGTTGTGTAAGAACAGCGTTTTCTTTTCAGAATGGGTCATTAAGAACAGTTATATTAAGTATTGTATTTTACTCTTTGGTATATATTAACTAAATGAATAACACATTCGTAAAGTCTGACATTGTTTATTTCGAGTTTATAAGTAAGCTATCTGGATTCATACAGAATCAAATCTCGTGAAAGTCACAGATGAACAAAGTGAAGTGTCGCGGAATATTTTAGTTGACAGTTACAAATAAGGATGTTACATTAATAAAACTTGAATATTGACTTGTGCAACGGTTTTTATAAACATACAGCGGTTTTCATGGGATTGGACGGGTATTTGTGAGCTCCACCAAGACCATGATGTTAACCAGCTGGCAGTGCGTTCACCGCTCACTGACCCGACCCGGACCCAGCGCAGCTGTGATGGTTTGTGTGATGATATAATGTCAATCACTTCCTCATTACGACAACTCTGTATTTCATAGTCTGAATAACTCAAAATATACACACTTTCTCAAGCATACTTGGACATGTTTGAGTGTAGATATTAGTGCAAAATGGGAGATTAGCCATAACAATGCGAGCACCTGGGAAGTCTCCTGCAAAGGTGTCCCTATATGCTCTCCTCTTGTTGGTCAATGAAGTGGGCTAAAGAAGACCTTATAATATAACACACTCCTGTACACTGCCACATCTCCAGTGATAACATTTATGTACAATCACCTGTCTGATCATGTTTTTTGCCCTCCAAAAGCAGAAATTGTAGTGAATCTGTTGTACTGCATTGCATTAGATTGCCTAGATGTACATAATGTTATGGCTGGGCAGTGTATACTGAAAAGAGTTCTAAAATGAAGTGTCAGTCACACAGTTACTTGCTGTAATTCATTCTAAAGAGCAAATTAAGAAAAAACTTTTAAAAGTATTGGTTTAAGAGGCCAACAGATCTCAGATCAGGTGTTTTTCTGCCTTGTAATTTGTTGTGTAAACTATGCACACCTTCTCTCTGCTATTTCATTTTCACTTCCAACTTTGGTGTTCAGTATGTAGTTTTTAAAGTGTCCAAAATATGTGAAATAATCCCCTCTTATTCAAAGTTTTGGCCAGGCAATATGACTCAGGCCAGATGGGCCACAGGACTGGCTATATGCACAAACCCTGAAATGCTGTTCAGGCATCAAGCATTAATGTCACACTAAAGTAATGTGCAGAGATTGAGTTTTTATTTCTAGTTTTTTCTAAAAGTCAATGTAAAGATGGATGCATATTCTGCACATAGCCTCCGTTAATTTGCACTGTAAATGAAGAATATTCAGGCTCTCTCACAACATCTTTAAGGCTCAGTTGCCTTCACAGCTCTTGTGATAGGCCTGGACGATATAGAAAAAAAGCATATCGATAAAAAATAAATCATATTAATCGATATCGATAATTATCAATATAATTATTATAATTATTTAACTTATATTTTAATTGCAGCCCTGGATGTTTTATGCTATTGCTTAATGACCTACTTTTAATAAAGAACACAGAAGCACTGAATTCAAATTCAAACCTTTATTCAACCACCTTTTTTATTTTACCACAACTGAAAGTTTTTTAAAAAAGAACTAAAAAAAAAAAAGAAATCAACTTAAGGGGCCTGAGTGACGTCAGTAAATACTGACAAACATAAAGACTAAAGTGACCAGAAAATCTGATAAATAAATATTTAAATAGTCTTTTGATGAAAATAAACAAAACAAACAAATATATAAATAAACAGAATAGCTTTAGGTGGGAATAACATACTACCAGTTTTAACTGTGTGAGAAACTGCCCACAGCCTGGTGTCTGAACACTGAAATATTTCTCCCGGGGTCGGGAGATTTATTTTTTTTAATTATCATGTGATTGACTTGATACGCAAACTGAGCACGAGAAGCAGGACTTATCCACGCCGGTGTTGTGTCGTAGAATGCACCCCTGCCGAATGCACCCCCTGCTAGTAGCCATGATCCAAATACTCGCGTCTTTGCAAAATATGAGCTCATTTTCTTCCACTTTAAGAAGCTAATGAGTGGACGGGATGCAGGGGTGCATTCTTCTCACCTTTTCAACCCCTGACCTATTTTCATGCCTGAAGCGCTGTGTTTGAGAAATACTTGCGGCCGGGCACTTCATATCGCGGGTCGAGAGTGGCTAGAAGCTGGTCGAAGCAAGGCTTTTCAACGGTAGTTATTGGCAGTATGTCCCTCGCTATGCAGCATGTTACTGCATGGGTGATGTCCTTATGCCGCTCGGACGCTTTGTCGTATTTTGGCAAGAAACGAAGTCCAGTTTGGTCTGCTTCACATGCTTTGTGCTGGTGCTGGCAGCGGTTCCAGAGGATTCCTCCTCCGACGACGTGGAGCCGCGGCGCGGCCGACACAGCTCGTACTCCTGCGGGTGCGACCGGTTTAGATGGTAAAACAAGTTGGTTGTGTTACCAGACTTGGTTTTTACTAATTCTCTGCAAATTTTGCAAACGACCGCTGTTCGCTTTTTGTCAGACTTCTAAAAACCAAAACATTGCCATGCTGGTGAACTACTGACAATGTCCTCCGCTTCTCCTTGCTGTATCATTTTTTTCTAATACACGTGCTGTCTGTTGTGGTTTGATAGGGGCTGGGCTTGGTGCCGTAGCGTACCTGGGTCTGCGTTTGTGATTGGTTGGGAGGAAGTAATGACTGTAGCAAAAGCTACATGATAGGCTATGATGAAAAAGAAAGGGAAACTGTGTTTTTCTATCGAACTTTTTATCGACCCGTTTTTTTTCTATCGCAGCACACGTCTATGGATCGATATATATTGTTATCGAATTATCGTCCAGCACTATCTTGTGAACCACTTTCCTACAGCACACTTCTGTTTGACGGCTTTCAAATGCAGGTGATGCTCTCGGAATTGATCAAATGTCCCCAAATTACCTTGCAGGCTCTTTCACTGTCCCTTTGCCTTTGAAGTTTGGAGGGAAGTTGTGGTATCTAAATTACATGCAATAGTGCAGGATTAAGCTTACGCTGAAGCAGGATCTATTTCTGAAATTCAAAAGCGGGTTTTCTGAAGCCCTGATGGGGGTAGAGGCAGCTTACTGACCTTGAGGGTTCATCAGCATGTAGTTTTTCACTTGTAATCGCAGGGGGCTTTCAAGACAGCGACTGAAGGAGAATATCTTTTCTGCATGGCTACATACGCTGTGACATTACCCCTCGGGATTCTCTTTGATGGGAGAATAGCAGACTGCACAGATGTGTTAGTGTGAAGGTGGTGTGTATTTTCACTTCTATTTAAGAGTCCATGTGTGGATATGTGTCAGGTATTTATGAGACATATTAATGTGTCAGCTTCTCTGTTAGTGGATTAGCATGTTTGTGTATCGACATACATGAATGTATGAGAAGCTCCTACTAATAGCTTTGATAGCATGGTGTAGTTAGTTGTCTTGCTCTTCTCCTCCTTGAGAGAGCAGTGATTTACTTTGTTAAGGTGTGACCTCATCCCCCTAGCTCCCTGATACCCCACCTCCCCCTCTGAGCCAGATCAGGCTGCCCTGTTATCACCGACACACACAAACATAAACACACTCACACAAGGACACACAGCAGCAGCAAAGAGGACTGGGGTTGGCTTGTGAGATTTTCTCATTTTTATTTCCAGAGTATATATGTCTATCTCTTGGAGTGTGTGTGTGCACAGACAAGCAGAGAGAAGGAGAGAGAGAGAGAGAGAGAGAGAGAGAGAGAGGGTGAAATAGGGAAAGCAAAGGGGAGGGAGTGTGGATCATGCATGTGCATTAACTCAGCTCCAGCGGCACAGCAGCAGCAGCAGCAGCAAACAGAAACAGCAGCAGCACAGGAGGGAAAGGAAAAGAGAGAGAGAGAGAAAGAAAGAAAGACAGAGAGGGTGAGTTGGAGGGAGGGTAGTTGTCTCAGGCACAGGAACAAAAGCTGCAGAGGACTGCTTTCCATCTCCACTAAAAGAACAACGGAGGAGTAATAGCAGGAGGAGGGGTGGTCATGGTAGTAGTGAGACAATAACGGTGGAGAAGAGGCACACTGTAGTCAGTGAGGACTGAAACCAGGGCTCTTTTCTCTGCTCTCCATGTTTTTGGGGAAACCACGTACCATTGCCTTCGTCTCCAAACCCATAGGAGGATGTCTGTGTCGGGGAAGAAGGAATTTGACGTGAAACAGATCCTCAGGCTCCGCTGGCGCTGGTTCAGCCATTCGTCCCAAGGTTCTGCTGGTGTTGGAGGTGGTGGCGGTGGCGGGGGTGGCTACATCCAGCAGGATGGCCTGGACCACAGAGGGACACCTGTCCAGGGCCGACTGAAGAGTCATTCGCGGGAGAGAGGTATTGGAGGGCTACGAAAGACCAGCAGCCCAGTTCACAGCATCCTAGCACCTACGCCGGGGCCCACACCTGTCTATGTCAGAGCGGGTCATCAATCATGGCACCATCAGCAGAACACCATCCAGGGTCTCCAGGTCAACGAGGAATCTTCAAAGAGCAGCTCCTCACCCAGCACCACGAGGAAAGAGGACACCAACACTGGCCAAGAAGATGTGAAGAGCAGCACAGAGGAACCTGCAGAGGTGGAGGCCAGAGAGAGGTATGGATTAAATCAGGTGATGATATTCAGGAGACGCAGATTTATTATGTGGCAAAACATCCAACACTATTTATATCACATGCTCACTTGGTAGAAACCAGATAACTGGGTGCTTTTGTAAACCAACATGATATCCCTACTTTCATGATGCCAAGTAAAATCTGCATCTGATTGAGAAAGTCTGACACTTCAGGCAGCATCCCAGGATTAAAAGTCAGAATGTTTTGTTGGATTTAGAAGAGATGGGTATGAAAGAGTAAATGCTGGGTACTTAGCAAAGGGCAGTCACACATAATCTGTGTTTGACATTTCTGAGACTTCAGACATGCAGCATGAAGGGAACATCCTCAGCTTTTTAACTCCCTCTAATATTTCCTCTCTCGTCCTGTATGTGGACACTTTAATTGAGCTAAGATGAAATTATCTGCACAGCTATAATTTTCCAATTTACCCAGACTCGGCAGCTGCCACCATGGCTCACCTAGGGACAGCTCACTCTCATTGTCCACAGCATGTTGGGCAGCATAAACTAATAAAGCTTCCTCTTAATTATTCAGGGGCCTGAGAGCAGAGGCTTTTTCCTCTCACTTGTCTGTGTCATGGTACATGTTACATTCATAGAAAGACTTCAGCAGAATCCTCAGAGTGTAGTTTTCACACATTACACTAATGCACTCTTGTATATTTTTCAAATATAGACAAAGGAAAGAGCCACCACATCATTCGATAAGAACTGAAACCATAAAAAAGGGAAGCGGTGCAATCTTATGAAACACGTACAACTCGACCACTTTATAAGCAGGAATTCATCATTTTTAGTGGACTGAGCAAATTATTGAAATGATTTCTACCTAATTGTTCTACACACAGAAACCATGCTAGTTATAGATGTCTTCCTCTTCAGCCATAAATCCCTCCCCCCCTTTTCCAGGTTGTGTTTTTCTTCCCCCGTCTCCCGTGTGATCCTACGTCTTCTTCCAGGAAGTAAACAGAATAGAGATGTGTGTGTATGCAGGTGTGTGTGTGTGTGTGTGTGTGTGTGTGTGTGATCTTTTGCCGAACACTAAAAAGCACCCCACTTCAACGATGAAAAGACCTGTTCTCCTTTTATCTTGTCTGTGACATTTTAAGGTGGCTGGACGTTAATCTTTTCTGAATCCTGCGCACACCTTTTGTTGCCTGCACCTGCTGATGAAATCAACGATGAACAATGAGCCCTTCCCTTTGCTTTATAAAGAGCTCCCTATGATTGAACAGATGATTTCAAATGCACACTCGCCGTCTGCAGCCCAAACAGTGAGCCAGTGTGAATTAAACGAAGGCTACGGGCAGTGGATGGTCGAGCAGAACATGAATAATTCTAAGTAAAAATACAGTTTTGGAATCAGCTCCACGTTCTGCTCTTCGTGTTGGTATAATTGGCAGATGTTCATGTTTCGGGGCTCCCTGTGTGTGAAAAGTGCATGCATAAAAGATGTGCCTCACAGTGGAAATGTGTAACTCTCCAACTCTCACGAGGACCTTGAGTTCACACCGGCCATGTAAAATACAGCACTGCTGTCATATTTTGACAATGATACTGAAATATTCAAATAGTTCTGCTCTGTTGGATCATAAAACATATCCTTGGCTCAGCCGTAGCTGGTTGTAGTATCATCCATTTATGAACTGATAAGCTGCAAAGGAGTCAGACTTCTGTCTTTAAAATGGTTTCTACTCGTTTCCCATCCCCTCATTTTCATGATTACTGAATCTGTTTGTCCTCCTCATCCTGTGGCTTAAACATCAAGAAAAGTGTGATCTGACAAGAACAATTGTCAGGAAAATTCGGGCGCTTAGCCAAGTTTCATTTAAGGTTTAGTGCACCATCAAAGCACTCACTGGATAACTGAAAGGGACTTCTTTCTGGATAGGTTTGGACAAACCCTGCATCTTCAGCTCTAAGAAGTTGCACAGTGAATTAGGCCAAAGACTGTGTGACACACCATGGCTTGCATGTTCATCGGCGGCTAAGCAGATGTGTGGATGTCACTGAGATATGCACATTCATTTACTCCACCAGCTGGGTGGCCCTATTACGTCTCACATCATAAATCCTTGACACATAATTTGTCACAATCCCTCAGGCTGAATGTAGAAATGAGTTCTGCCGACTGTGAAAAATACTAAAGTTTTAGCCATTTGACTGCAGTTGGAAAATATGTCATTCACTTTGTCGCTCATGCCCCTTAGTCATTAGTTCTGTTGAGATGATGTCTATCAGAGAGACATCCCATCAGTTTTCTTCATGCTGTCTTTTACTTTTATTGCTAATATTTCACATTGTTTTCAAGGGTGAATTTCATAATGAATGAAAACAGCTCATCCTTTGTGGGTGTACTTTTTGGAATAAATACTACTTTTTAAAATATTTTCTGTAGACTTGATGTTGCAAAAATTTGTTTTGATTTGTACTGTCATGTAAATGAATGTAGCCTAAATGTAATCATGCTGGCCACACGTGTGGATGCTCTCACTCCTGGGGAGATCTTCAGAAGTCTGTGACTCATTTTTGTTGCAATCTTCTTTTACAGTGAAGTCGTTCTGTTGGTGTTCTCCTGAATTTAGTTAACCTTTCTCCTCTGACTGCTAGCTGCGACTGCATACAGAGCTGCAAAGTTGTTAAATCAAGTGTAGTGGAGTGTATAGAGTGTAATACCTAGTTTTTTTGACACCCTCGCTCCTGACGCTCCTATACGTCTGTATGTTGTATATTTGTTTGCCCTCCCAACTCTCATCCAAATAACCTCTCCCGGGGTTGGCAGGGAATATATGACAGAAGTTAACCTGAATGGAATGGAAACCCTGACCTCTCCCACATATACACTAACACAAGCTTGACTCAGCTGCCGTTTAGTTTGAATGATATCTCAATTCCCTCTCCGCCGCCTTGGTGAAGAAATACCACCACCTCTCCCGCTGTCAACAGCAGTAATTCAAATGTTTGTCGGATGCCTCATAACACCACACGGCTTATAGGGTCTCAGTCTGTGTGACACAACCAGCGGAGGCGTCCTTAAGATGTTGTATATCACAATATACTCTATATCAGCTGTAATCTCTAAATGAAATACTCAGGGGTGAGGGGATTTTGTGATCGCTTGTAATTGATTTTAAATCTACACTTACCTCTTCAAATCAGCATTCTGTGCACCGTGAGGCCATGTCAGAGCTTAAGACTGAGGCTGAGTTTTCAGTGGTACTACTGTTCGATTTCTTTGCTTTGAAAAGCAGTGAGCAGAAACTGTGTTCTGGACACATTTTCATTTCTGTAAAAAAGTGGGTTGTACATTTTTACCCTACATGGAATGAAGAAAAATAATTCAAAGCCCCTGTTAGGAATTATCAATATGTCAAACTGGTCCCCATCTGCAGATAGAGCAGTGCCTCTGATTTTATGAGGGATTTTACCCAGTTTTTTAATTTAAAAAAATCTCTTTGCTGTAGTAAATGCAAACAAAGGCTGATTATGCAGCATGCAGTAGTTCACTCTGACTGAAACCTACCCCTCTGCCAGACATTTTAGACAACAAAAATAGCTTTTTGGAAAAAAAAGTCCACCTTTAATTGAAATGTTCTCATTGGCCTTTGTGGGTTAAAGAGTCATTGGTAGTACCATCAGTCTGTTTGGAACCAGCATTAAACCCCTCACAGGAGCTTCAAACAGTCATATTCAATAAAAAAAAAAAAAAAACCCAAAACAAAACAAACAAAACAAAAAACCCAGAGAGACAGAGAAAACTGAGATTATGCTGCAAATGTGGAAGTGAAGATTACAATATTCAAAATACTCAACTGGATCATATTGAAATGAAGATGTACTTGGAAGTACTTTATTTATTTATTCATTTATTCAATGTTTATTTTTGTCGGGACGAGTATGAACTAAGTAAACCATTGCCACATACTGTAGCATTTGTAGCTCAAGCTAATTTGCGATGCCTGTCCCTAGCTGGACTCTTAAGAAAAGTACTGAGGAAGTACTCATTGTGGTGAAAGATCAAAGTGTGAATGAACCTTTTTGAGGACATTATAAATTAGAAATACAAAGTGGAGAGAAAGTGGTGAAATAATTAACCCTGTTTAAGGGTTTCATTCATAAATATTAAACTATTTCAGCTTCAGTCAAGATTTAGAACCTATGATGGTTGATAGCTTTGAGGAAATACATATCTTTACCCAAGAATACTTTTATATCTCATACAGTATATGCAGTATGTGCAACCCAGGACCCAGCATTTTGATAATGTGGATAAATTTGTCTACCCAATAACATCATATGAAAATAAATTACAGCCCAACAATAATGACAGTCTTATATGTGTGCGGGTTAACCTGCCATCAGCAAAGCAGTGAGGAGCTTTCTGCTAAGATCTGCACATTTTTCACTTACAGGACACCCCCAACCCCCAAGACACACACAAAGACATCACACACACACACACACACATCACACACACACATGCAAACTATTCAAGACCAAATTCCTCAGCATCAGAATGTACAGCTCAGCATTGCAATCACACTCAGTCCACAGATTCATCTACAAAATATCATCATGGATTAAGATTTTATCATGCCAGTAAAATTGTCCTGAGCTACACCTTTTTTGAGGCCGTCTCATTACTGACTTTGCTTATCAGCATCTCTGTTTGGATATACATTTATTCCAGCTCATTACTCCTCAAAGGTTTCAAACAGATATGCTGTTTTTGTGCACAAGTAATGCCAAATATATATATTACAAAACAACAACAACAGCATTTGACTGTTTTTATGTTTGCTGCAGATTTATGTCCTCTTGTAGTCTTAATATTCAAAACAGGCATCAGTATCCCACTCCAGGCGTTTATTTTTATAACCTAGACATTGTGCTGACCTGTCTACTCTTCCACACTGCTTCTTTACAACGTGTGCGGTTTTGGTAAAAGCTGAAGGGAAAAGGTACAAGAAGGCAGTATTTCATTTATACTAAGAGCTAGGGTAATTTTCCACTGCACTCTAACATAAAGAGCTCTCTGGTCACATTCAGAGCAGATTTCAAAAGATGTGGTTCCTGTATGCAGCTACTTTCCTCCATCATTATCAATATTAAGCAGGTCTGTCCAGTGTAACAAAGGCATCAGAAGAAGGATGTGTGTTGGAAGCCTCAGTGAGATAGGGAAAGTGTAAGGAGGAAAAATCTATTTCTGTTGAGAGTTATCTTCTCATCCTCACTGCAGGGTGGGTTCAAGTTATTACCGTCTGTGTGTATATTTCTCTCCACACAAAGCTGAATAGCAGTACACCGACTGTCATAGTACAGGGGCATAAAGATCTCATGGAATATATAGACTTGGCACATGCTGCATGAGGCTTTGTAGGAGTTACTGGATTCTCAATCCAACCCGAGCTACTCAGCAGCAGCCTTCAGGGGCAAAACGGCTGTTATAATCCATTTTGAAAGAGACATTTCCCATTTGGCCGAGGCAGGCACGACTTTCCCCCCCTTCAGAAAGGATGGAGTTGACACTAGTTGGAATAAGACTGAGATTCTTAGCAACACGTCTGAGTCACAACCTTTACTGCTGAGGGCTAATCTAGGCTGACGAAAGCACATCTTGGATCATCCAACTGTTCATCCAGGAGGGGTTGTTTTAGCATGGGGAGAGAACTCAGACTGAATGCAGAAACAGATCAGAGTGAGACAGGTTACGGATGTTTTAAATAACCCCTCTGTAATATTATTGATTGGTGTCTTTATATACATCACTATAAATCTCTCTGCATTTATAATAGTGTGTATATTATACATTACACAGCCTTTACAGGTCTTAGGCATAATGGCACGGGCAAAAAACATATCACCTGAATCGCAGGTTTTATTTTGAATATGCAGTGTTCCTCCTTCAATCCAATTAGTCACATGTGAACTGTGATATTCTTGTAAAGGTGTAAATTGCAAATGACAAGGTTCAGGTGATGTGTGCTCTCAGAGATAGACATGCTGTGAAAGAAGTCAGAATTGGAAACCCTACTTGGTTGTTTTATAAAGGCTGGTTTACCCCCTCACTGCTTTAGGACTGCAAGTCAGCACAATGAAACAGTTTGTAGACCACAATAGAAATCCATAGGCCCTGTTAGTCTGTGTGACTCTCCTTCAATTGCTTGGTAATATGCGGAGTACAGCAGTGTCCCCAAAGCTTTTTCTCTGGAGTAAGGTGTTCTGGGGCTTTAGTGCCTCAATAAAACTGGGCTCTACCTCTGATGATCCAACCCACCGCTACTGAAAGCAAAATACACACCTCAGAGAAATTTACTGCTCCCTAGAATGTGATACCAAAGCAATTAGTGTCGGAGAGATTGGTAGGCATGAAAAATCCTTACAGCAGACCTTAGAGCCAATACAAAGGCAATGCATCTCAGTTTTACGGCCCCATTGCTTATTCAGTCTTGTTTGGTGTTCCTCTCCAAGACTCCAGAGTCACCGGGGAATTATTGTGACAGGGCAATAAATTACTCTTGCATTTAGCATAAAGTCTCCCAATAAAGATTAGACTATGGGATATTGTGGTGTCCAGAGAGCAATATAAACAATTCCCAGAGGAAAAATGTTGTTGTGTTGTGTAATCAAAGAGGAGAAAGTAACACACTCTGCTGAAAACTTTGTAATAGTGTGTTAATCAGGACATCAATACAAGCCAGTGCCTCCTCCATCCTCTGTTATCAATCTGAGTAGATGCCAATACATTGTCCCGCCAAGCATCTCAGGGTTTACGGTTTGGTTTTATGGAGAAATCTGTGATTTTACTAGTTTATTCAGCTGTCATATCAGTAAATGAGTGGTAATTAGTGTGGATATAAAGTGTTGCTTTAAATAGCATTGACATTTTTGGGCACCATCAGCCTTTACACAGGAGAAGGGCCATAAGATGATTGTGGCTTCCCTCTGAGAAGCAGCTTGAGTCTGTTTATGTAGCGTAACAAACAACCCTAAATGTCAATGAGTGGACTTTCTCTGTGAAGGACACAAAGTGGCTAGGCGGCATTATTTGCCATGAGTCTGAGGGATTACTTGGATTCCTGTAAAACAGCATGTAATCTAGCAGCCTGTGGGGACAGGGACTCAGCCCAGACACAACAGTGCGAGGAACAGGCTTGTTCACTTGTTAAGTCCCTGTCTTTGGAAAACACACGCGCACACACAGATATGTGGACATACAGGAACAGACACAAAGGCGTACACTTATACAAACATGAGGAGAAAAGCTGTTGCGGTGATTGTGGTGTTTGCTCCTCTCATTGGACTGAAGTGTGTAGTTATCCATTCATGTACTGAGTTTAGTCCATAGCAGTTTTAATTTCAGCTTAGAATAGCAAGAAAGATGCCACAGCACCACGGGGAGCTGAGGGATCTGGAGTGCCATGTGTCTGAAAAGGCTCTTTTGTGTTTGCAATAATACATCGCTTATCTGGCTGTATACAGCTTTTTGATTGTATTTATTTATTTATTTCATACTCATGATAAAGGATGAATAGAGGAAATGGAGAGCTATTTCTTTTATGAGTTAAATTACTTAGTCTCTCCAATATGGAGTGTATTTGTTTTTTCACCTTGAGCTCAATACACACGCACAGACTTGCATATACATAAATATATATTTATATACATATACACACACAGACACACATTTTTAGTGTGTTCTGTCCTTCTCAAGTGCTGTTACTGTTGTTTTGCGACTTACTTGTAGTTATGTCCAAAACAGATGGTGGAAAAAGATCATTATAACAAAACATGATATACACATGTATAACATATAAATATAAATATATATATATATATATATATATATATAATTTTTTAAAATTATTATTCTTTTTTTGGAAAGTACTGGGAGGAATTCTTGAAAGGTTTTAAGACACAGTGAAATGAACAGTGATGCATCACTTTGATATTGAAAAGTAAACCAGACCTCTGACTATGCGATTTACAATTTAATGTCAGCAAACAGTCACATTCACACATTCACAAACAATTCCTCACAGGAGTTATTTTAGGGTTATTTTTGACCTACATAGGACAGCTGAAGAGAGACAAGAAATGCATGGAGCAGAAAGTGGAGAAATATATACAGCAAAATGTCATGGCCAGGGATCAAACCAGTGATTGTAGCCTCCATACACAGGGTGCTTTGACTTCTAGGCCATCAGTGCCCCTGAACATGAAATGTTTATGTTAATTCTGAATAGACAATACGCAAAAAAGGGCAAAAGTGCAGTTAAAATCCCAACTGGCTAGCCCACAGCCAAACATGGGGTTAATGGTCTGCAGGTATACAATGTCAAACTGGTTTGCAGAGTATGGACAACCAACATTTCCAGAGTTTGTACCACCAGCCTTAGATCCTCCTTGCAGAAAACACCCTAATGCCCAGTGATTGTTATTCGTGCTCTGATCGATTATCGATACACAGCCTACACACAGCTTCATCCGCATCTGCTGTTTGTGCTCTTTACATACAGGTAGTAGACCGTTATGGCATTAACCATTAAACAGGGCTACAGCCAGCCAGTCATTGCTGGCTCACAGTTTGGACACAAAATATGGCCAGCATTTTGGGCCTTAGATAATAAAACGTAAACAATTTGTTAAACTAACTTGCAATTCTGGTGCCAACCAGCAAGTTTAGTCAACTGAATGTGCAAAGCCCTAAGAAGAGCTCTGTGTGCATTGCTAAAAAAAAATCATTCCAATTCAAATTAAAGTTTTTTATTTTTTTTTTAATCAAAGACAAGAATCACAAAGTAGCCAAGGGTACACACAGATAGGAACCAAAACTCTGTTGATTACATCTCTTTCCTTTTCCTCTCGCCTTGCTTGTTTTCAAACAGGTTGGCTCTGAACACTTTCACCAGAATGAACACCAACTCCTCCGATGAGTTCTTCCAGGCCACAAACCATGCAGAACAGACCTTCCGCAAGATGGAGACCTACCTCCAGCACAAGCAGCTGTGTGATGTTCTCTTGATAGCAGGCGACCATAAAATACCAGCTCACAGGTTAGTGTTTGTGCCTCTGTCCGCTTTGATTTCTCTAATTACACCTGTGTCAGCTTCAATTAAGAGATGCAGAAGCTCATCTGGATTCACTTCATTACGTTTTCGATGTGCGCAATCAGATGCAGCCTGGACCCCTGCTTGCACATCGGAGAGGATTTTGTCATGATTTTGTCAGGATCTGCATGAGGTGTAACTGAGGAGTCTTTGAAATACAAAGGAGGGTTTGTTTGATTCGCAGATGGCGTTGACATGGAGGATGTTTAAACACTTTGTTCACTGGGTTACATCTAAAGAACTACTGTAACCTAATTATACTTTTGTGCCTCCTCGTTTCTATAGTAAATTTGAGATGTGAAAGAACATACAGACCTGACACATGGAGGAGTCGATATTTAGGCATCCGACCCTCGATAGCTGAATCAAACAGATCACATGACACCACCTGAACGTTGCGGAGAGGGTTTCACTGAGCTCATGTGTTTCTACATCTGGATCTGCCGAGTAATTTCTCAGTCCATCTAGACAGACTTATGAAAGGGAAACCGGAATGCCCCACAGAGAGAGAGAGAGAAAGAGAAAGAGAGAGAATCAGTGACTGACCTAGTTGGGTAAAATGATCTTACTCTGACTGCCTCTTTCTGTGTGGTTTTATATTTTCTCAGAGGACCCCCTTTGCAGAGGTGACACAGTTTATAGACATAATAAATTTCTATGTTCATAGAAATACCGGAAATTACAGTGTATTGAAAATATAGATGGAGACTGTATTTCTTGTTCTGGCACCTGATTGCTACTTTCCCTCATTAATCACTTAAACATGGTATTTTAGCGAGAATAATGATCTATAATAATCAAAAGACTGACCAGTGTAGCTGTTAGCAACAGATGATTAATCATTTGCTGACTGGGAGGAATGGAGCATAATTTTCAGTTAATGGTAAGTCACTCTAATGCTTATTCATTCTAATTTAGCATAGAAGTATAAGAGCTGCATAAATCACAGTGGGATACAGCACAACATAAAATTACTACAACACTACATCGCGTATATGCCACCTCTTATGAAGCAGAGCTGCATGAGGGCAAGCGACACAATGTTATGATTGATTCGCCAACCACTTAACATAATCAGCTCGCAGTTCTTCCACATAAACTAATGTTTAGCATAGAAGCATTAATTCCCCGCGTTTTCTTCATGACAGACTGGTCCTGAGTGCTGTGTCCGACTACTTTGCTGCCATGTTCACCAGCGATGTGAGAGAGGCAAAGCAGGAGGAGATCAAGATGGAGGGAGTCGATCCGGAGGCGCTCAGATCTCTTGTTCATTTTGCCTACACTGGTGAGTACTCATAAAGACATTCACTAGCTCTTGTATGTAGTTACGAGACTTCTCAAATCCAGCATGGCTGAAAAAGATCAATAAGGCCATCCATCACTGGGCTGACAAACAGGGCATGTTTAATATTGCTTTATTTTACAGGACTAATCCTCCAGCACTTCCATAAGTGGTGTTTATTGAGAAAAAACACTTTTACAATATTACAACTGTAAAAATAGAGTGAATTATTCTGTTAATTCAGCTTGCAGGTAAATGCCAGAAAAAAATAAGTATTCTTCACTGTCACTCCCTGCTAAAGTTCAATAAAATGATGATGCTGGATCTCTCCCACCTATTTGTCTGCTTCAGTATCTTCCTCTAATCCTGACATAAAAACACATTTTCCTCGTCCTGACATTGCAGGCGTCCTTGAGCTCAAAGAGGAGACCATTGAGAGTTTATTAGCGGCAGCTTGTCTCCTCCAGCTTTCACAAGTCATCCAGGTCTGCTGCAACTTCCTGATGAAACAGCTTCATCCATCCAACTGTCTGGGAATTCGCTCCTTTGCAGACGCCCAGGGCTGCGTGGATCTGCTCAACGTGGCTCATAACTACACCATGGTAGGAGGGCAAATAGAGCAAGAACACATTCATATTGCTGGGTGGGCTAAATTATTTATTTTGTAATAAGGGATAGTGCTTGTGAAGTGACTGCTCACTGCTTAAACACACAGGGGCAGCTGCAGTAATGGGATTTATTAAAAGATGAACTGTAATTACAACTTAATATGACCATATATGAAAGGCAGCTTACAGTATAGCAAATCATTTTAACTGTGGTCTACACACTTGATTGATGCACAGACAGGGCTTTAAAGCACATATCTGATTTAAGTCATCTATACAGTTCCTTGTTTCGTGTGTTCTAGCCCTTGTTTTGTGAATTCATTTGGAAAATGCAGTGTGGTAACGCCATGGATCGATAGACTGTACACAACACATGAAAATGTATGTGGCTGTCCTCTCAGTCCGAGGTTAGTTAATTCAAATAACCTGTCATAACCTGTAAGCTGTTGGCTCCTCTGTTATTCATATCATCTAATTCAGCGGTGAAACTTGCACATTTGAATAGAAATTGAATAGTTTCATGCTTTCACTTTATCTAAATTGGTTGTGCGTCTGTCAGTGAGAAATACTGTACCACGTTGTCGCACATTGATTAGTGCACTGCCAGACATGTGGAAATGCGTTCTCTATATATATCTGCGAGGGATATTTGCATTGGATTAAGATTCATGCTCATATCTGTCAGATAACGTCTGGCTGGCCGCGCAGAAGTGACTGCGGGAGGCGAGCGTTATCTCCTAAAGGACATCTGCTCAGCCTGTTTACATAGGCCCCGTCCAGGACCAGAAGGTTAATCTAATCATCAAACTGCACAAGAGGGCCAACTTCCTGTTCAATCACTCCAGTAATGAGCAATGAGAGCTGCAGGCTTCCTGGAAGTCCATCCTCTGGCTTCTGAGCCCAGCAAGCTATGTTTTGATAAGCTTGTTTTTCCTGGTTGAGGGTGGAAACGAAGATCCGCCCCTGACATCCCTCTCCATTCTAAGAGAGTTGGCTTTTTTATGTTGCACCAGATAAAAATGTTTTATTGTATGGCATGGCTGCAACTTTTTCATCAATAAAACAACAGCTCAGTGACAGATCTCATAAACCCCTACAGAAATGGGATATTATAAATGATACCCCCGAAAAACTAGCCAAATATGTCCATTTGTCCTTTCCAGCTTCCTGTAAAGGACACAGTAATGGAAAAGTTCTTGGAGGTAATTCTCCCAGTCTCACTTGAATTAAACATCAGCATTTGCCTCTTCAGAAAACAGTGTTATTACACGATTACTCTTTTGCAGTAGTTAAATCAATTAGTATCCTCTCATGCTGATCTTGTTTTCCAAGCCATTTACCCACCAATGAGTTTGCCAGCATGTGAAAATACATCCTTTCTAATGGTTATGAAACAAACTTGGTAGAGCTTTCAATTTTGTTGTCAGCTGTTCAAGACTTGTAATTACAAATAATTGGTCTCAAGCAATGTCAAAGACTTGGATGGAGTTTCTCTCTTAGTGTTAGCGCAGCAGATCAATAGATGTCCCTCATTTCATTAAGGCTGTCTGCGTTAAGCTCTTAAAACCTGCTCTCATAATGGATCGGACCAACACGCCGTAATTTGCTGCAAGCTGATGATCAATAGTGTGCTTGTTTTTTCGTAATTGTTGCGCAGTGAGTGCTTGATTTGTCAAAGTTATTCTGGCAGCTTTATAATTAAGACTCAGCAGCCTTGTTCCAAAAGGAAACAGGGTGCGATTACTGCCAAGGGTTACTCTGTGTCTTTCATGTGTTGAATATATCATACTGCAGAGGAGGGACGGTGTTTTATATACCATTATCTCTAATGGAAGTGCCCAGAGACAATGTCCTTGAAGAGGTAGCCATGCAGTGCTGTAATACTGCCTGGGCTTCTGGCCAGTGAATGGGAGATCAATCTTTAAGAAGGCAATAGAGCACAGCTTCTACAGAACTTAGAGCTGGACACAGCTCTAGTGTGAGGATAATGTTGGTGTGTGGTGCATTTGTGTTTCCAATTACAAGGTCTGTGAAGGCTCAATGTGTCATATAGGTTTGGCAGTGAAAGCCTTTAGAGCTAATGAAGAAGCTGTCTTTTAGGAGATCCTATATACCAGGGTGATTTGTTGCTAGCAGTTGTCCCAACCCTTTTATTGAGTTAGCTAGGTGAAATGATTGTATGCTTTAAAGAAATTAGAGTATTTTCACTCTGGCTCCCAGTTACAATTTGTTGTCACTCCTCTCTGATTTGATCAAATCAACAGTGATTTATTCATATTTGTGTATCAATGTTCATCATTTGTAAAGGTAGGGAGTTCTAGAGAGGTAAAATGCTTATTCAAAGTCCTGTATACTAACAGTGTTAACACAATGCTGTAAATCGTCAAAGCTGGCTACCTGTGTTCATTTTTCTACACCTCTCTGTCATTGTGCTCTCGGGTACCCATGGGGGAGAAAAGCTGAAACAGTCAGTGCTGCTATGCTAACCCCCCAGCTAATGACTGATGATTATCTGTCTCCTCTGTGCCTCCTCCGTGTTCCAGGAACACTTCCTGGAGGTCATTCAGAACCAGGAGTTCCTGCTCCTCCCCACGGCTGAGATTGTTAAGCTGCTCTCCAGCGATGACATCAACGTCCCTGACGAGGAAACCATTTTTCAGGCTTTGATGATGTGGGTGCGGTATGATGTCCAACATCGGCAACAGGACCTCGGGGTGCTTCTCGCCTTCATCCGCCTGCCTCTACTTCCTCCACAGGTGAGCGAGCAAGTAATTTATTAGAGGTGGGGGTTGAGAAAAAAGCACGACATGGGTCATTTGATATGTTTTTAGTTGAGTTTGTAGCAGAGAGCCCAAGCTGTTATGACTAACAGCATTGCTACCACAAGTTTGATTGGTGCAGTTTAATGTATTTAAAACACTATAAAAATTAGTACCAGGTTTTGCCTATTTCTCTGTTTAAAAACAAAGAAAACATCAAAAAGGCCATGATTTCTAAGTACATGATATTATATTATTATTATTATTATTATTATTATTATTATTATTATTATTATTATTTTGTTTAGACAACCAAATTCAGTAAATTACTTTACAGCAAAAGTAGCAACAAGTTCTTACCGTGTATTCCTGAAACAAGCCTGTTTTCCCTCTACACTTAAAACTGACCAAAAATGACAGGAATATCTTGATGTTTACTTGTTCTTTTTATAAGGACCAATCGGTGTACGATTTTAACGTAAGGTTTCAAACATTTACAGCAAGAAAAACACCAGGTAAACCCACAATCTTTGCACTGACCACCAGCAATAAGCGAGCAATAAACCATTGCACTGTCAACACCCGTTCAGATTGTCCACAATTGCAGCTCTAAAGTAAGAAAGAATCTCACTTCTTGTATCTTTATTTTCACTGATACATTACTTAATCCAACACTTACTGTGGGCGTCCAAGTTTTACCTTTAAGTATTCACCCAGTAAGTTGTGAAAAGCAAATAACCCAAGAACAACCTCTTGCTCTATTTGCCTGCAAGAATAAATAAATGTTTTGAAAATAAAAAAGTGCAAAATTCGATCTAGCACAATTATATCACTTATTGGCTGGAAAAAACATGCTGTGGGGCAGTTAATACAGTAGCTGTTTCTAATGGGAACCAAAAACAGTAAAAAGAAAGAAGTGCAACTGACACAACAAGCAAGCATAATGTCAATATATATGAAAAAGTCTTCATTCACAAAAATAGCAGTGATATATTCAATGGAGCTGCACAAAAATGAGCTCTCTGAGAAGGGATGGATTCACTTTTTATCAAAGGTGTTAGAGTCTCCTGATTTTATTTCAAAGGGACTCTTGATTATCATTTCAAACTAACTTTATGTTTTCATAAGAATGATGATTTAACACTTTCTAACAAAACAGCATGAAAGGTTAATATTTTGATGAAAAAAATGCTCTTCCTACATCTAAATCAGTAATCCTGTTAAACAAGCATAACTGTATTTTAACTTGTTTTTGCTCTGCTTGATTTCTTCTAGTTTATCACTTGTGGTTACCCCTCTTGGGAAATTAAAATGGGATTATTTGCACAGCCCAAAGTGTGTCAATGCACCCCTTAAAATGCGATTAAAACACTACAGAATAGAAACTACTACTGATTTGTTGTAGTAATGTGATTCCTTATAATTCAGCTCCTCGCAGATCTGGAAAACAACAAGATGTTCTCTGATGATTTGGAATGCCAAAAGCTATTGATGGAGGCCATGAAGTACCACCTTCTGCCTGAGAGACGCCCCATGTTTCAGAGCCCAAGGACCAAACCTAGAAAGTCCACAGTGGGTGCACTTTACGCTGTAGGAGGGATGGATGCAACCAAAGGTATAGCTATAGGCTGTAGCTATCAAACTGCAACACTGTGGCTGAAATTGTAACACAAATTGTTTGTGTGTGTGTGTGGTTTTAGGATCTACCACCATAGAGAAATACGACCTGCGGACTAACACATGGGTCCAGGTCGGAGTCATGAACGGACGCCGGTTGCAGTTTGGTGTGGCGGTCATAGACAACAAACTGTATGTGGTTGGAGGGAGAGATGGACTCAAGACATCCAACATGGTGGAGTGTTACAATCCGATCAATAAAGTGTGGTCCACCATGCCCCCCATGTCAACTCACAGACACGGACTTGGTCAGTGGTTCTTTTACAGCAAACGTAGCTCCACTTTGTTCGCTGCTGCATGAAACTGTGCTTTGATTGGTGAGATTCACTGAATCATGGCGTTCATTAACATACTCACACCTTAAATCCGGCATGTTCTTTATCCATAAATCATTGTCGTATATCACAAGGAATATTGTTTTTCAGTCAGTGTTAAAGATTCAAATATTTTCATGTCTATGTGTAGTTAAGGCAAATTTATTCCAAAGTTATTCTGTTTTCATCGGACGTTGACGATTAAAAAACTGTTCTTTCTACAACTTCAAAGTCAGAGGATTAAGCTCAGCTCTGTCAGGCTACATGGTCTTATGAAGCAGCAGAGATTGCAGGTTGCAGGATACACAGGAGGGTCACAGCTGGCATGCTGTAAAAATCACACATTTCTTTTTTGAGATAGACCTTTGATATTTTCCCATTCCCCTATCAAAGTCTGGCAGGCTACTCTGGCCCTGCTCTTTCTTTACCCCTCCCTGGCCAATAAATCTCATATCAGAAGCGTTTTGATTCACAGTTGAAACAGGTCTGGGTAACAGAACAGGGAGATCTTGTCAAAGCATTCAGCTCCCTCACCCGGTGTGGTCAGAGGTATCAGAGAGCCCAGGAGATCTCACTGTACAGATTACCTGTGTCGACTTTCATCTTTCCTGCAGCAAATATGTCTTGCTGCTTTACTTGTGGCCTGCATATTTTCAGTGTGAATATATTTGAGCTCAGTGTCTACCAACCGCTTGCTGTGTGTATTATGAGTAGGAACCAGAAAAAGAAAAGCATTTATTTATCCCAAAACCAGCTGTCAGAAATGGAAGTGAGTTTGATGTTGAGAATGTTTTCATTTAGTCTGAAAGTGTTTGTGTTGTTTGAGGTTCTCTGAATGTGGTCTTGCTCTCATTTGCCTGTAAAATAATTGAACTCTCACAGACGGAAATAAGGGTGGTTGTGTAAAAATCTATTGTGCTTGAAGATCCTCTGCATATTGCTGGCAACAGCAGACTTTTCTCTGTGACTTGGGAATGAGGAATAACAATGCAGTTTTATGGACTTCCTGTTTTTAGAAAAGAGTTGGCTGCATGAGTCACTCTGCCCAGCTCGAAAATGAAAAACGTACCTCTGTCAGAGTGCTCTCCAAGAACTGCACAGAGAGAATTTAACGTAGAAATCTAATGTATTTCTTCATTCACAAACACACATTACATGATGCTGATGTTTAATATTGTATAGAGGTGAACAGTGAAAGGTAAGAAAGTAGTCTTTGCCTAAGCAGCATCAAGAAGGTATTAAAAGTATAGGAAGTGATTTAGCTTTGAAATTTGTGAGAAGGCTTATCACTTTACAGCAGAGGTTCAAGTATAAAGATCTCACAGCACATACTGCACTTTCTGCTCATATAAGATAACCTAAAGAAAACACTGAATAAAATGATCATACCACAGGAAGTTGCTGCATTAATCTGTAAAGCTTGCATAGCAACAGATACCCTTGATTTTCATATCTTTTCCATAAATGTAAAAATGAATTTAAAAAAAATCCAAGAATCAAAAAATATCACCTCATGTGCCCTGTATTTTTGTAGGTATTGCAGTGCTGGAGGGCCCCATGTATGCAGTGGGAGGCCATGATGGCTGGAGCTATCTCAACACAGTGGAACGCTGGGACCCACAGGCCAGACAGTGGAACTACGTGGCCAGCATGTCGACACCGAGGAGCACCATGGGAGTCACAGCGCTCAATGGAAAGTAAGTTATCTTAGCAAACCTGCATAAGATACCAGCTGATGTTTAGGCTGACATTTTGGGACTGTTTTTTTCTGTCCTGTAGAGTGTGTTTAGTCAACATTAAAAAGAAGTTAGTGTCATAACTTCTGGCTGAAAAAGGCACTTTGTGCTTGAAAAAGTTACGATATGGGTCAAAAAGTTTTCTATATCAATAAGAATTTAAAACACACTTGACCTTGGTGCAGAGTAGCAAGAGTAATCCACCTTTCTGAAACTTTTACTCTTGTTAGAGGAAAGTTGTTTCACAACAAAAATAACATGACGTTACATGTTTATGCCATCAAGTTGCAAACGGCACTGAGATGAAAAGCTTGCCAAAAATCTATCACACTGCAGCTTGTTTGCTTTGGAAAACAGTCAGAGTAATGTTAATACATAACTAGAAATAGAGCATGTACAAACACAGACTTGGTTATGTAACTCAGAGCACACTGGTCCAGGAAAAGCTGAAGAGCAGTATAAGCACAGTAATAGTTTGACAACATTTCACTCCTTTAATGCAAAGTCGACATTTGTGGTCTGCGTGAGATAAACTCATGTGGCTGTGCAGCAGTGTGCAGCTCACAGCCAGTGCTGCTCTTGTAATTTATACTGTACAATTAAGACTCTATAAAAGCTGCATTTTATGTATTTGTATGTACTAAATGCCTGACAACACTATTTGGAAATAAGCAAAAAACAGAGCAGCTCTGCGCCTCATTTAAATATATTTGTTTGCCAAAGCAGGAGAGAAGCTGCTGCTTGGCTAGATACAGTATTCAGAGTTAAAGTCGATTCTGAGTTATTTCTGCATCTAGGTCAAAAATAGACAACAAGGAAACTGTTTCCCTTGCCTCTACTTTCCTGCTGTTGGGCCTGCGAGCTAGAAGCACTTAAATCACTGATGTGATCTATCTGAGAGAGAGAACTCTCAAGGAAAGAGCCTTTGAAAAGTGCTTTTCACTTCTCACTGCTGTATCTTATGAAAATGTGTCATGTTATCATCCCTCTGTCAACAATTTTACAACACCTGGCATCTGATATGAGCTAGTCCTGCTAGATTCTGCAGGACTGTAAGCACAATTTCAATGTTTGAGATTTTGAACCACATTTGATGTGAAATCTTTCAGATTGTTCGCAGTAGGAGGACGGGATGGAAGCTCATGCCTGAGGTCGATGGAGTGTTTCGATCCGCACACCAACAAGTGGAGCATGTGTGCCCCCATGGCTAAGAGGAGAGGAGGAGTGGGTGTGGCAACATACAACAACTTCCTGTACGCTGTAGGTGGACACGACGCTCCCGCCTCCAACCACTGTTCTAGACTCTCGGATTGTGTTGAGAGGTCAGTAAATGCTCCTTCTCCGAAGAAAAAACTACAAACACAGAAATGTTGCATAAGATATTTGGATTGTGGTTGATGGAATTCAGTCAAGGGTGGAGACGAGGCTTTTGACTTTCTTATAAAAACAGAACAGAAACTATCAACCCACACCCTGTTCCTGCATTTTGAGACTTGTCTGTATCACACTTAACCACAACACCCAAATGGAGAGATCATAGTTTCCACACATGCTTCTATGTTGCAGTGTCTGGCGCCATCTGGTGGCCATGTCCAAACCTGCTTCAACAATCTATGAGTTGAACGGCATCAAAATACAAATAATCTGCACCATTATGGTTCGGTCTTACTTATGATAAGGATTATTTAGCTATAAGATATAATTAATTAACCCAGCCTCTTATGATAATAGATGGTCAAAGCAAACAAGTGTCTTTTTGGGGCTCTCTGATGACACATTCTCTGGATTTTATAATATTGTGACAGTGGAATAGACATCTTTAGTAAAGTGATTTAATTTACAAAATGCACTGTGAGTAATGTGTTTTTAGCTTTTCGTAGATCGTTAAATTCTTATGTTAGTGTAGCAGCAATGGAAATTCAAAGAATTAACCTTATCTGCCTTTAAGTCTGGTCACCCCTATGATTCCAGAATCCTACATTACATTTTAAGAGATTTGTAAGGGCTTACCGATGTTTTCAAATTCTAAAAATGAACCATAGGAGCGAAGCCTTTAAAAAACAGTTTGAAAGTCAAGACTTCTGTCTGAACTTCATTGGAGCATTAGCTGTAGGCAGGTAACCTTATCAGACTGGCCCATGGAATAATGAAATGAATATCTGACATTAAAAACAAAAATGTTAAGAACATACTCAGAAACCATCTCTTGAAGGTGTGTCCTCCAGTGTCACATTGAGTGAATACTAAGATATCAAACATAGAACTTTGTGATGTATTAACCAGGTATTGCTACTGCAGTTATGGTTACCATTTGTATCACATTTAATTCTGTTTTTTTTTTTTTTTTTGTGATGAACATGAAATATCTCAGAGCAGCGTCAAGTTTTATCAAGTTTCAACTGGAAATAACCAAAGCTTTGAACTGTGAAATGACTTCATTACCCAGAAATCATCCAAAGTAACTCATATAATATGTTCATTTTTCCTCATTGTAGCTGCCAAGATTATGAGATATATATTTATGATTATTTAACTGCTTTTCTAACAGATAAGTCCATTTGTCTGTATAGAGAGACAGAGAGGAATCCAGCCAGTATTTAAAGAAAATTAGCTTTTGAGTGTCTTCTGTGCTAGGAAAGGTAGAACAGATGTTGTTGTGGACACTGTTTTCTCCTAGTATTAAGGCTTAACCAGATAAACGAACAGGTTGGGCAAAAGGAAAATAAAAGCAAAAATTGTAATTCCAGGTATGACCCAAAGACGGACACATGGACCACCGTGTCCTCCCTCAGTGTCCCCCGAGACGCCGTGGGTGTCTGCCTGCTTGGTGACAGGCTTTATGCCGTGGGGGGTTATGATGGCCAGTCCTACCTGAATACTGTTGAGTCTTATGATGCACAGAACAACGAATGGACCGAGGTAATCGCAGAAACTCGTCAAACACTGCAAATGTTCTGATTCTTTCTGAACATTGAAAAACAAGACGACTGAAGAAGTTTTAACCTGTGTGAATGTTTGAAGTTTTTCTCCAGGCCCTATTTTATGTTGAATGAGGGTTTTAGATTACCCTCTTCAGGAGTATGAGTCTGCTGGAGCCATGAATACCATCAATATTTCAGAATTTCCTCGTGTTATTTTGCAACATGTTTTTCCGCTCTTGCCTCTGTAACCCTCTTATCTGCATGAAGTAAAAATGGATTTTTTTTTTAAACAAGCCTGAGATGAGAGGCTGTGCATTAACCCCTCTGTCTTCCTGCAGGAGGTCCCTCTCAACATTGGCAGGGCAGGCGCCTGCGTGGTGGTGGTGAAATTGCCTTGAGCGTTGTGTCTCACGACAGCGCAGGAAACAAATGAGAGAGCGGCGAAGAAGAGTGGACTAACAAAACAACGGATCAAGGACACATCCTCTGAGAGTTCTGTTTTCATTTTTTCTCCCTTAACTCAGCTCTCCAGATTTTTCTGAGGGAAATACAGACAGAGCCTTGCCCATAAACCATTGTTTCTATCATTAGTGGACATGTCTGCCCACAGGGGAGGACTGCACATTCTCCACATTCTCAACCGATCAAGAATTTCCATAAACTTGGCTAAGCCGTAACAGAGCCAAGCCTCTGTTGTACTGGTTCGTTAAACTAGTTTTATGAAGTTTTGTGTGTGTCTGTGGCATTAAATATAAAAGTTACATTTTGAGAAAATAAGCCTTTGGGTTATTTTTCATCTATACAGAGACTTTTCTTATCGGTGCCATAACATACAGTCTATTTTGGGGTTTATATTTCACTTTTCAGCCACTTGAAGGAAAATTGTCATAAAACAAAAATGAGACCATGTACAAGTGTCTTTCCTGAGTGCATGGTCTGAACACATTCTTACTCTTTATGAAAGAAGACCACTGACAACACTGATGATCAGCGAGTTTTACCAGGCTCATTTGAAGAACCGGAAAAATCACTTTTTGCTGAACAACATAATGGACGTTTCCTTGGGTTCTCTTTTTTTAAACTGAGCCTGTAGCTACAGAACACCAAAGTCATTTGTTTGTCTTAGAAGTCTTGTTACGCATTGAATACAAGTTTACAAAATTGTGAATTACAGAAAGTATAGTATATCATATTGATATTTCACATTGCTGTACAGATTTTTTTGTGACTTTTCTGAAACTACATGTGTCAATAGAATCATGCCTAAACCAGTGCGCTCTGGTGAAGACGGTTATTTTTACGATTCTGCTTTTGTTCTGGGCATGCTGGCTGAGCTGATGTTTTTTTGACTGATACATTATCACATATCAAGATCCCTGTTTGTTCTCAGTTTTTATGGTCTGATGCCCTCCAAGTCATGCTGGCGATCTGGTCTTCATAAACAGCCTTTGGATTGATTGTTGACTAAAGTGTTATTGGATTCACCAAAACCAGGCATCGGAGTCCATGCTAGGATCGAAGCAGTCTTTCACAGGTGCAGCTCTCTGAAATCTTCACTGATTTGACCTGATCAAATTTTTTAATGTATGGTGGGTTCTGCTCTTTAAATTTAACACAAGGATAACAATTTGTATCTGGAAATCTAACATGTTTTGGTGACCAAATGTTACTTTTTATGCTTTTATCATGGTTTTGTACAGCATGCAAACCTATAAATAAAATGACTTCAGTCTCCTCTGCATGTTCAAATCTATGTTCAGAGCTGAATGTGGCCCCTCAGCGGGCAGGTTTTCATTTCACTTGTTCTGCTTTAAGTAAACTGAACCGGTTCTTTGACTAAACAGAGTGTGAAGGGACTTTGATGTCAGCATTAACCTCGGCTTTCTCCTTGTTACAGTGCCGGCTTTGTAAATCAAGCAGCATGTTTTCTGTTATCGTTCTCAAATCACCAGACTGCAGACCAACTGCTTGTGCTCGCCTTTGTTTTTCTCATTGTTTACCCTCCAAATAGTTTCAGAGTCCCTCCACCCCACCCTCTGCTCTCTTGTTTGGATGGATTTGTACGGAGGTTTTTGCATACAGAACACTTGCTTGTGTGTCCACAGACACTTTTGTCTCAGACTTGTAAGTCTTGTAGAATACACAACATATTTGGCACAGCGTTATCTTTCCCATTTTGAAATGCTGGCCCTTTTTTGTAAATCTGTTTCTCAGCTGATGCACAGATAAACATTCTATTTATGTTTATCTTCATCTCCCTCTGTCTGATCTTATAATGGAAATCAATAAGAGATAATAGCATTCACCTTAATTCACCTCTTCATAATATTCCGGGAAGCCCCTGTGTGCATAATATTCATCTAAATATAACTCTAACTAAATCAAGATGACTGGAAACACAAGACTGTCATAATAATGGAAATAGCTTTATTTAATTTTTCTTAGGAAGTGACGGCTCCTGATGTTCAACATTGAACTCTTCTGTGTTCATTTCCTGAGCTTTAGCAAAGTATCACCAAAATGAAACGCATAATCTGTTAGAGGTTTTCCAAATTGATCCAGTAACCCTGTCTTTATTGGAAACTGTAGTTCAAATACAATGATCTAAATGGAGAGAGAGAGTGGGCATCATATGATGTAAAAGCTGTCAGATCTCTGAGTCAATCTCTGGCTTGAAGGAGAACATGCTTTGTTGTCAAGTAAAGCGTTATATTACAGAGCAGAGCCGGAAAATACACAAAAGTATCATTGCGATTGTTTTTCTAGTTTTCAAAGGACATAGAGTTGAATTGTACAGGATTAACTCAAGCCACTTTGGTGTAGTTAAGAACTCCTGTATAAGAATCCCATTGGGATAAAATCATATGAATTGATATGTAAATATTTAGAGTTCCTGTGAGGGACTTTGAGTTTGTGTCAAATTTGGGCCCCCCTACCCCCTTCACACTGATTTTAGGCATTAAAAAACAATATAGAAGTCAACAATCTTGTTGCGGATGGTCTTATTTGCTTTGTCGATCATTAATAGATATCATTGTGAAGCTCAGTCCGTTTCAAAAAGATAAAAATAACTTCTTACAGATTTAATGTGGCCTTAGTTGCTTGAAGTAAACACAGAAAGGGGTGCAACTTCATTTAAATCTCTGGTCTCACCATCATGTCTAAGTGGTACTTGGTTATGCAATATATTTGAGTCTCCTTTATTAATATGTTTTGATTTAACACTTTATATATCTGTATCTATATATATCTATATATATATATGTATAAACCAAATTAATTGATTATGTTAAACCGCAAAGCTTTTTATGCTTTTTTGGAAGTTTGTGAATTCACACTGACTAACAGGCCAAGCTCTAAAAGTTGCAGACAGACAACTAAGTTAAGTGAGACACAAACAATGAAGAGTCAAAGTAGATTTTTATTAAATTTCTTAGTACCTGAAGGTCTTCTTTTCACAGTTCCAACAATTCTTTTGTCAGTTTCAATGTTTAATAATTAAAAATGGTATCCTTGACTGACAACCCTTTTTTACACCTAGTAACATTACAAAGCAGTGTGTAACAATAGAGGAAAAGCCCTGACATGGATAACCTCTATTAATTTTCTATTTTCATTTTTGTGGAATATAACAGTAAAAAAGTGCATTGGAAATGGGCCATGTATTACACAGACTACACACCTGCTTCTTATATCTGAGTATTTTGTCGTAAAAATGTGCAAACTAAGTTTTGAGTTAAAAATCTGTGCATTTGTTTGTAAGTGAGTGTTAATCTTGGTTCATTCAAGCAGTCTGGATTTTCACACCAACACTCACACACACACACACACACACACACACACACACACACACACACACACACACACACACACACACACATATATATATACATACACACACACACGCACTCATCCTTTTCTGCTGCATTTATGGTGATGTAATCTTCTCTAAAATGATCAATAGAGGGTGCTGTTGCACTGCAGAGAAATGGTCAAACCATGCTTACCACTGCAAATCATAGATCTTCAATACCATTACTGTTCATAATAAATGTCAGCCGGCATTAAGAATGCCAAGGACAAATACTTGAGCTAATAACCCTGCATAATTATGGAGACACGATGATGAAATGTTGGGAAATTGGATGTTAAGGTGTCTGCTTCTCCTACTTTCAAATGAGCATCTTGCTGAGTTTTTCAGGGAGGCGTGAAGACGAGGGAGATGTGTTCTGACTTGAGAGATGACATGTCAGATTTTAAAGGGATTTTGGCATCACAAAAGTTTCAACAATGTTTTATAATTGTGTGACAAATACAGACAGATAGTTCTATTTTTGAGCTCTGCTCCATGCCTTTTCTCTCCTTTTTTGAGCGAAGGAGCAGCACACTCTCATTTTTTATTCTTTTTTTGTGTGTGTGTGACAGTGAACACAGATGGAAAGTGATGAGAGAAAGATGCAACAGCGCAGTGTGAGTTGCAAACATCATTCTATATTGATTGTTGGCTGTGAAGACATACTGTCTGTGTGCCAGATTGTTCTCTTATATGATATATATTTTTGGATTCAGGAGGAATAAAAGCTTTCAGAAATAACAAATCATTGCATTACAAAAATGACATGTTACAGTCACAGAATTCTCGATTTCAGCAGACACATTTTCTTCTGCCACAAAAATAAACGCTGCATAATTGTTTGCTGTCAAAACAACATCATAACTTAAAAACAGATCAGTTGGCCTCATGCTCGCTGAAGAAAGCCTGAAAGAAGGGATTTGGATGGTTTATTTGTCAAAACACAGTGTTCTAGGAAAGACTGAGAATAGAAAGATGTGGGAAAAAAAAACTGCATGCGAGGGATCATCTTCACCACGGGGACAAAAGACAAGATGGATCCTTCTACAAGTGCCACAACAAACTGTCAACTTAGAATAAGATTGTCCCGTCAAGCCTGCTTAAATAAGCCTGTTAACATGGCACTGTTGACATCCAGCAATGGAGCGCCATGTCAGGCAAAATGTTGTGTCTTCTCTTCCCAGGTGACAGCAAATTGATTTTACACTGCAACAATTTTTTGTCAAGTGACTGACTTCAGAGAGATTTAACATATCACACAGGTAGCAGGACAGCGCCAAACCACACAGATGTGTTTTTATTCTATTCGGGTGAAGCCGAAAAAAAAATCCCCTGCTTGAGGAACTAGACCACAAACTGCAGGCTTTAAGTGACGCTGACAGTGATGAAGTAGTTGGCCGGGCTTTCACAAGTCCAGTGCTGATACAAAGAATGACAGTCAGTCTGATCAAAGGCAGCAGACAAGTGCTGTAGAATGTTCCTCCCCCCGTCCCTCTCCCCAAGACCCCTGTCTCTATCTAATGATAGTTGAATACATTGTCATCTCATTATCTTTGAAGAGGGGAAAGATCCCTCCCGTATGAGTGGGCACTGTGTCTCTTGCCATCAGACAGGCCCTAAGATTGGTGAAGCGCATTCTCGTCTCATTACGTTGAGTGAGAGATATCAGACACATCCCATCTGCCTAACGCCTTCCGCGCACATGCCGCCATGCCTCTGCTGCACAAGCTGGTCTAGAAATACAGCAAGCAGTTTATCGGTGATTCTACACCTCTGCTTTTCAGACTCAAACGCTGCATGGCTACAAATCACTGAATGCTGACTTACTTATGATCGCACACAGGGCTGTTTTCCAGTGCCATTCATCAAGGAGCCAATGACTCTCAGACATGCCAGGAGTCTACTACTCTTAGCATCATTAATATTTCAGCATAACTTGTAGTTTACTTCTTAATGGTTTTAAACTAGTACACAAAACCCATTTATCCCCCGGCAACTGGCTGCAAGGCTTTGTCAAATAAAAAGAGAACAAAAATCTGCAGTCCCTCCCAATTTTCCACTTTGCAAACCCTCTCTGGGGTAAAGAAACAGCACAGATAGAAAGAAAAATCAGAGCACATTACAGAATCACACAGTCTGATGCAACTGCACCGCATATTGCATCAAGTATGAATATGCTAAGCCTCATATACAGTCGCTGAATTATCCTTTTTTAATTTTTTCAATATAGACGTACAGTCTAATTAAATTCAGGGATAATTTTAGTCTTTGTCTGACTGTTCTTATTGTGCTCAAAGCCTATAGTGAACAATAACTTGTGACAGAAATGCCAAATTGGTCACAGTTTCTCTTGACTGGCTTTAACAGATGTCATGGGCCAATTGCCGAAACATCTTATCGTGGACACAGTACAGTGAAACCACAACACTGATCTACATGATGGATGTCAGATCAAAATGAATCCAGCCATGGTTTTTACCAGCTTTGAATTCATGCATGGGGGACGCCTGTCAGGGGCGAGAGATGATGTGGACACAGGCTCTCACTGTTTGTCAAGATTTTACATCCCCCACCCTCGCTACTTGTTTGAAGCGAGTCGTCTGCCGCCTCGCAGCCTGCTGCCAATACGCCTGAGAATGTAGATCCAACATTTGTGGACTTCTTACAGGAATGAACGCAATTAGTCTGTTTTCTGGGTGCACAACATCCCTTTGCATACACCCATGCAATCTATCATTTTAATGGGCCTCAACTTTCCCAGGCAACATGCTTTAATTTGGTAACTACACTTGTCTGTCCTTGTTTTATGTGACAAATTCAGACAGAAAAGTAGTGACCCATCAATGGTGCAATTTTTCCACGGCAGTTATAGCCTTTGGAAGGGTGCGTGAGATGAAAAACACAAAACACACTTTGAAAAGCATCAAATGATGTTTTGACATAAGATGGAATAATGAGGAGGCATCAGAACCTGAAAAAGATCAC